ACAGTATGAGTTGATAAAAAAGAGCCCATTGAGAGAGAGAGGGAGAGAGAGAGAGAGGCGCAAAATGTTTGAGGAGGAAAACGCGGAAAATGTCATGAATTAGCCGGGAGTGAAAGGCAAAAAATAAAGCTTCACATAGTTATACAGTAATATCCTGTCACAACTGTTATCGCAATTTATTTCATTAAACACTTGGCGTATTTAAATAATTTAAATTCTTGCTGCCAGTTTTTGTCATCCTCCACACAGAGAGTCTTGGAATATTCATTGTAGTGTTAAATGTACTTCCCCGCGTGATAAGACAAAGTATTAATTTGTTTTAATGCTCTCTGGACAGTGTGTATGAAGTGTGTGTGTTTTAAATCCACAGGACCGTGCTATGAATCTTATCGCACTGAGCACAGCGGAAGTGTGTTTTGTGTACAGAAAAGTCAATTGCGATATTTACAGATAAGTCATTGTCAAAATTTGCTAAGAAACAGATGCTCCAGTGGTCTCTGGTGGATTTCTTATTTGAAATCAATGCGTTATTCGTGTTGTGACATCTCTCAGAATACACAAACTTGTGTACATTTAGTTTTGAATGCATTATTATTTTTTGTGCAGTACTCGACATTCTTTCGTCACATTCACACAGTGAATCTTCGAAAGAGTCTTGAAATATGTCCTCTTTCTCAGTTCAAAGAACAGCAAAATGTATAAAATGAGCATCTTGAGAAACAGTCATATAAAAAGAATGAGAATATACCAGAAATTTTGTGATAATTGTTTGACCTTTGCCACAATTCTATATGGAGAGACTGTGTTGTTTTTTTTCTTAATTCTTTCTTTCTCAATATGATTATTATTCTCTCTGGTATCACTACACACGCTCCGTTTTTACTTGTCGTCGTCACACTCTTTTTTCTTCGCTCCATCACCCATTTGTATTCCCCTATATTTCACCGATTAAGAAAGAGAGAAGCCAGTGTTGTGTATGATATGAAAATGTACAATTCATCAAGAGGGTTATCGGTGCTAAAATTATATATTATATTTTTTAACATCCGCTTCATGTAAAAAAGAGATTTTCCATAATTTATGTGGATCTTTTTTTTGTCCATATGGCCCGCGTTGTTACAGTGAATTAATCCACCAGCGTCAGTTATGCCTCTCTTGGGCATGATTTTTTTCTCCCATTTTCACATTTCCTCATCTTAAATGCTTCATTTACGGATGGAGAGTATTTTTAATTAAGAGCACTTGGCTTGGCGAGGTGAAAAGAGGGGCTTTTTGTTGATGTCAAAATCAATGATGCAATAAATCCCGCCATGTGATGATGATGGTCGATTGAAGAGTAGAAAAAATTGTATGGATTAGAAGGATATAAACAGACAGGCATATTATTTATCTCAATTACAACAAATAAAACGCCTAAAGTGCCACAATTGTTTAATTTCTAGTCACTTTTTGCTCACAATGATGCGCATCAGTGAGACATAAGCCACTTGAGATGAATATTATCCAGAAGAGTGTGACAATATCAGAGAGTTGAGATGTGGACAAGACGTTATTTTTTTTAAGACAGTGCCCCGGTCAAATGTGTGGTGGTCTGTAATGTCGTGTGACTTGGCTTTACAATCTAGAACAGAGAATTCCACACTGGCTGAATTGATAATTGAAAAATTACATCCCATACCACTTTTAATGCACTTTCTGTATTTGAGGGCGGAATAATGATCTGGGCAATGGTGGTGTTTGTATCCATTTTTGCAACGCAATTTCTCCCACTTGCACAACAGAGGCATTTCAGCACGTGGAGGAGGCGAGAAGGGGGCAAATTTGCGATAGGAATGGGTATATGTGATTCCTCAGAGTTCGATAAACACACGCATTTGGCTGTTGGTGAGAATCTCCAGGATATTATTGAGTGTTTGAACTCGGGAGTTTGTTTATTTTACAAGAGCAGAAAATTTACAAACACTGCACTCACAATATAATATGGGTTTAGTTCAAAGTTCTCGAGAAAATGGAAGTATTCTATATGATGTATGAATTAAGATTGAAATTGGGGTTCATTAGTATACAGAAGAACACTTGATTTGTAGTATTTATGAAAGTTCAGAGCTCGGCTTTTGTTGTAATGCCGTCAAAATCAGACTCAACTTGCGAGATTGTATAATCTCAAGATCTCTCATGCCTGAGACCGTCTTTCGGGCACCTTTCACGCTTCTTGGAAAAGCCATGTAGTGTCAAGAACCACTTGTATTCTCTCACTAAACTTGGCGTAAAGGACGTGAAGGTCAATATATTCGTCTTATGAATATTATAATTATCCATCTCTGAGATTTGTTCCAATATTTATCACAGTGCCGCCCATGAATATTTTCGTCCTGGGGTATTTCCTCTTTCTCTCACTCTAAATCACTAAATTTATTGACGCGTTCGCAGGGGGGTATAATGGTATTATGCTCCAGTAGGGAGCGGAGGGTGGTAACGATGGCTGGGGACGAAGTTGATTGACTTGAAATGACAGATTGGTCATAAAATTTTATAGAGAAGAATTGCGCGAGAGGGAGAGAGAAGGAAAAAGTGCACTTATAATGTAGGAGCATTGAAGAAGATGGTGCTAAAAAGGCAGATGAGAAAATATGCAGTGAAGATATGTAGACTTTTCCCCCTTCTCGTGCTTCGTTCTCGTTTCTTCACTGTTTTTCCTTTATCTCAGAATGGGCTGTCGAGGTTGGGAAGCTATAAGAGGTGGAAAATGTGGTGGTAATAAGATGAGATACAACACCATCATCCTCATCATCATCGCCTCTTTCAACCTTGAATGCTATGTCGTTTATTTGTAACGCCCATAATATTATTAAATGCACCACGAATCGTTATTAGTGGCAAAGTGTAGTGGAGGGTCCGAAAAAAGGAGGCAAACATACATACGCAAAGAAGAGGAAAGCGAGGGAAGATGGTGTGGTAATAAAAATCAAATAATATTGTTGTGCCTCTCGATATGGTGCTTCTTTTTCACTTATTGGACAAATGCTGTACGTATGGTCGAAATAATTGAAAGTACCCAAGTGCAAGTGTGGGCAAGATAGATGGAGGCTTCTGAGCTAAGGAGACATGATGATGAAAGATATTAATTGGTAATTTATGTCTCTCATATTTCTCGACTCTATTTTTCATCTGATTTATTAAGGAGTATTCTCTCCAACACAGTAAATGTGCCATTTTAAGTGGCTTTTGCTTGTATATATGGATGATGGCGAAAAAACTGGATTGTAGAATGAATACTGAAGTGAATCGAATGGAGGAAGAGTGAGAGACTCTGTTCAGAAATACCCCAAGAAGACATGCTGTTTGATGGATTTTGCAGTGAGCAAAATATGTCCAAAAAAAAATCCATCATTTTAAATGTGTCGTGAAGGTCACATTCATGCAAAAAGAGAGAGAGATCTTTTTTATGTCCATTTGTGGCCACTTTATTGACTTCTGTTGAAGAAATTAAGCGAAAAATATGATTAGTTGTGAGATTTTTTGCCATGAACTGCAAATATATTTACCACTTTGCGTCGCCTCGTGTACAGAAATCATGTTCGTTTTTTTTTATCATGTGGTCGCGACCAGCAAAGAATTTGCTAATTTTCTGCTGGTGTGGCCGCTGTTGATTGGAGAACAATCTCTGTGAGTGTCTGACTGATTAATGTTAGGATCAGTGTACGATGAAACCGACCAAAAGATGCCCCAAGTGGGAGTTGGAGAAGAGTCGCACATCTCTCTATATATAAACGAAATATTTAAATTCAATTCCCAACTGGATTTCTCACTCACTCGAAAATGTTTGCCTTGTGACATTTTCAAAGTGAAACACAATATATTCGGCCGACGACAAGAGAGTGGATGAATAAGAATTGCCTGAGAATTGATTAAGAAGAAGGCGATGCTGTGGAAGAGACTAAAATCTGGACAGCCAACGAGTTTCTATACACTCAGAAAATTTAGTTGTGGGACTTTTTATACTTGCGTGCGCAACAATATTGCTGGTTGGATATAAGAAAAAAAGGCGTTGGAATAATTTGTACAACTCTGTGACATTTCAATATAATAAGAGTTTCATTGAGGGCGCAGGAGATCTTGATGGGACGTATAAAAATTGCAAGATTTATTAATGGCAAGAGTACATAAAAAGCCCAGGAGAGAGACTGAGAAGACAAATTTGCCGGCGAGATTTCTCCCATTCTTATTTTAATTGATTCGAATGTGGCATTTTCGCGAGACGAATGACTATTGGCTCAGGAGGCCGCTTGAGTGTTGGGTAGAAGTGGAGATAAAGTGTCTAACAATGGGGGTCTTTTGGTTTTTTTTTTCATGAAAAAGCGGTGATTTAGGATGGGTTCTCTTTTAAAGGTTTTTCACATAAATTAAGATAGTGCGCGCCATCGCGGAGAGGAGAGAAAATACCACACACGAGACATAAAAATGAAATTTAATTGAAGATTTCAACAATTGAGTCCACTTGAGAGGCACGGCGAAGGAGGGACGCGGAGGAGAGGCGCAGCGAAAAGAAGTTGAGAGAGAAATTAATTGGTGGAAGATATTGAGAGGTCGCGCGAGTGCATTTGTGTGTCAGTTGCGGCGGAGTTGAGTCTGTGGGGGATCCGGGGAGAGATCAACTGTAGATGACCACAAAAATGGTACGATTGGCAATGACGTCACCAGAGTCTTCACATCAGCAAAATAGTAGTGGCAGCAGTGGCAATAGTACGAGCAACAGCAATCACCAGAGTGGTGAAATAATTCAGCAACAGCAATCTGTTGCAATCCACCAGAATCCGCAGCAGCCGCCCCAGCAAGGGACAATCGCCCACCCCGCGCACCATATGCACCATGCTGGGGCCACCATGCCTCAGCAACAGCCACCGCCGCCGGTGGAGGGCAATGGGCATGGGCTGTTCATTGGGCAGTACACAGCCGCGGGGGACTTCTACCCCGAGCACGGCTACTTCATTCCTCACCATCACCACCATCACGAGATGTGTCCCGCGGCTCATGCTCCCCTCTGCACGCTCCACGATTTCGGTAAGACCCCAATATTCGGCCACCCCGTTACATGCCATCTTACTGACTTCACCTATGGCACATGTGGCTGTGACCCACATTCTGCCTGCTATGCAAAAGATGTGAGTGGAATGACACTTTGTCCATCCAATATTCACAATGCAATGGCGCCATATGAGTCACACGGTGAAGAATTCGACCAATACATCAAGTGTGATGGGCCATTCTTAACCACATCCTTCACTCTGCATCACACACACGATAAGGGAAATTTCCATTTAACGTGGGGCTCATGTGGGATTTGCTGAGAATGTGTCGCCTGTTGGCAACTGATGTAAATAACTTAGATGCTCTTCTCAAAGGATCGCACTGTGAAGAAAAAGACAATTGCACTTGGCCCATAAAGTATAGTGTGTGAAATATTTCACATAAAATATTTGCCTTCCAGAAATTGAACATTGTACGCGTTCAATTTATTTATAAGCTTTGAGAGTAATGATTGTAGTCAGATTTGGAGTGAATGTGCTGTATCAAGCTCTTCCTTCACACCACTAAATCAGGTATTCTACTCTAAAATAATGGGTGGTTTGAATTGAATTATCTTCGAAGCTGTAAGATTTTCCCAGTTCCTGTCAATTCAAATTATTTATCAGTGCATATTTGCTATATGTGTACAATGTTGTCCCTGAATAAGCTTTCACATGCACATGTTTTGGCGAATCCAATTGTTCATGCGCTGGTAAACTACAGTGGGCACTTCTATCACCTTAATTTCCATTTTATTGTCACGGTGAAGCTTCCTCATTTGAATATAATCACTTTGTAGTCCGTGTCAAAGGCCCAATATTTCGCAATGGAAACGACCAGAGGCACCCCGAAAAATCTACTTTAATTTGCCAGTATCACCGTGTTGTTTCGATGTTAGCCGATGTTGGTCAAGGATATGAAGAGTTTGGGGAGAGAACACGTGGACAATTAGTGAGTCACCAGCTCGAAATTCACTGAGATTGTGGCTTTTTGTTCTTTGTGACAAATTACAGGACGATTTGCACATGTTGTGTTTTGAGTGTGCAGCATTGAATGTGACAGCGAAATTTGATAAATTGCTTTTGAAGGTGACAGGAAGGAAGGTGCAGAATGTTAAGTGTTGAGATGATTTGGGCGTGTGCGTTTGAATTTTGTGCATGGATGGGAAGAATGGAGCACTGGTGAAACAATGCTTCGAGTGAAAGAGAGATAGAGAGAGAGAGAGAGAGGAATTGATATGCAAGCTAACTTAATATTAAAAGGGTTTTTGTTTAGCAGTTTTGTGTGTGTGTGTTTTTTTTTGTAATTCATCCTCCAACATGACATCGATGGTTTGAATATGATGGATAATATATGCACATATTGTAGAATTGTGTCCTCACACTGCCTACATATATAGATTACTCATTGACGTAGTGGTTGACTTTTGTAATGCGGATTCCCGGAAATTCGAGACTGACCTTGACCCCATTCAAAATGTGTCTGGAATTAAAATGCCATAGGAATTTAATTCGTCGTCATTGGTTACAAGTTCTCAAGTGTTGATGTCTTGTAGCCCATAAATATTGTGCTTATACATAGCAATTCTCTAGATATTTCACATACTGTATAGAAACCATGAAGATGTTCCATCATCTTGTGCGATGCTCCACTCCCTTTACACTTTTTTTTTCTCTCACTCACTCTCTCCATATCGTTTAATGTGATGCTTTTTTGTCTTTGATTTCCCTTCTCCTCTTGATCATGTTACATAATGATGCAGATGTATCGCTTGTGCGATGGCAGAGACGCAAGAGGAGAGAGGAGGAAGAAAATATGGAATCTTCTTCACTCAGGATACATCCAACAACCACCACAAGAGCAAGAGCCCCGAAATAAAAATGTGAGAAGTAATGATGAAAATGAGAAGAGGATATCATTCTTCGATCGCTCACAGTTGAATGTGTGGTGTCTCATATTTTCCTTCTCTTCGCCCAGTTTGCGCCTAGAAGACAGTTGGAGAAGAAAGGGGTTTGCATTGGGGATGGGATTTCCTCTCCGCAGTCTGGATTATATTATTTTGTAGTTCTCATCCCTCTCGTGATATCTGTTCGGCTTTTCCTTCGGGGTGTTATATCCATCGTTAGATAGATAAATAGTTTGTCTGTGACTTGACTAGACTAGAGATGGGGCAGAAAATGTCTTTAAAGCGTGGATGAAAAAAAAAGAAGATATAGCCGAGAGACGACACGAAGAAGGCAAGAGAGCCATCGCGCACACTTCAAAGGCGTGTTCTCCTCTCAAGGAGGGTTATTCAACTCTAACCCATCTCGATGGTGTGTCACTTGATTCGATATGGGGTGAAGAAATTCTCAACATTATTCTTCAAGCTTCCACTTCCCTCTGACTTCTTTTTTCGGGTGATTTATCTCAACATGGTGATACAAGACAAAATCCTCATCAGTAGGAAAATATTTACATTTTCAATACAATTTTCAACCCTTTCGAATTATTGCTCCGCAATTTTGTCTATTTTCTGGTATAGAAGCTTCGCTACGACTGTAAATCTTTTTTTTGTCCCAGATTTTCCCTGTCTAGGCATTATTAAGATTTATCAGCGTGCTTTTATGACTTAGAACTATATTAGTCTGTTGATCTACATATATGGTTTTTCAGCCTTTAAATGTAGCATTGTTTTTACACCCATACACTAATGCGGAGGCATAAATCAGGCAAAAATGGTACGGGTTCCAGAGATAATAGCTGTGATACGCGTTGAAATTGTGAGGCACCATCGATAAATCATTTAAGGATGGGGCAGAGGGTATTAGATCTGGCGGTAGTGTTGATGTGAAGCGCTGTTACATGTAATTTTTCTATTCAAAATAGTGTAATATCTTTATCTACCCACTCATTATTTAATTATAGTATTCCGTATCTTTTTAACTGATCATTCAGCTAACAAAATGATAGAACACTAATTCGCTGGTAAGGTAACTAAATTTGCACCCGTAAATATACAATTACTATCGCTTTCTTTATGATTGATAATATTCACTTTGAGAGAATACTATAATCCAAATTTTCTGTGGAATATGTCTAATAAGTTGTGTAGAATTAAACTGATTTTTTTCTATGGTTTATTCGTGGAATGTATAACATTTTATTTATGTATTTAGTTCATAAGCTCGGCTAAAGTGCTTTTCATTTGCGGTGCATGTTTAGATTAGATTGACCTCAACATGGTACATTAAATTTTAAGTAATGAGACAGTTTTTGCATTATGACAGATTGGAATTGCTGTTAAAAGAAGAAGCAAAAAAAATTGTCACTATACAGTGAATGAGTTTAACTCATCTTGGGCACTAATAATGTGAAAAGCATGCACAAATGATTCAATGCCAGAGTCACTAATTTCAGAAGCAATCAGCATGATAATATTTACCATGAATGTATACTTTTCACTATGAAGACAACAGACATTTTTTATGGCAAGTCTGTCCTCATTAAATCAATTTTGCCTCCGCCATTTCAGCTCCAATGCCCAGTGCAAAAAGTAAATGAAGCAAATTTAAAGACATTTTCCTCGTTCGCGTCTGAGAGAATTGGCAGAGATGCATTGAGCAAATGTGGTGCATGTGAAGGGTATATTTTTGAAACAGTGCTAAATTGCATTCGAATTTGATTCCTTGCAATGTGGGGAGAGAGAGTATATGTGGTAGGACTCATATTTATTAATTTTATTTTGAAGTTTGAAGACAGTGAACCTTCTCAAGAGTTGTTTGTGGATTTTTTCGGGTGTGTGCAGAGTAAAAGGCGTGAGGCGCAAAGAGTGCTTGTGTGTGAGTGTGGAGCGTGGTGTGTAAAAAATTGCTGTGATTTTTTAATTATACCTTCTCGGTGTGTACAGAAAAAATTTATATGGAGTTTGCGGTGTGGGGAAAGGCGCATGTGGAAGCGTGTTTGGTGTATAAGTGTAAAAATAAATTTTTCAAAATGAAATACACGCATTTTGAAAAGTTATATCTGCGCTATATATGATGTGTGATGTACATATGTATGCGAAGAGGGAAAAAAGTATGTATTTATGCTCTCTGAAAGTTGATTGTCCTCTATGCGTGTGGTAACCTTGATTTTGTGCTTTGCCACCGATCCGCTATGTACATAATAAAAGTACCTAATATAAATGTCTGAATGAGCAAATGAGGGAGACAGACGGCATATTGGAGCGAGAGATGGTGTTTATATAAAGCGAGAGTAAATAAATATAGAGAATTTATTTATTGCAATATATAAAGAGGCCCAACAAAGTTAATCGTCGTGTCACACTCACGGGATTGCAATGACATTCGCATTGTAGAAATATTTTTGCAATATACTCTCAAGTGGAGAGCTTTTTAGCCGCACTCACTTCTTCTCCTTTTTTTATTAATTGCGTGTAACTTTTTGCCTGAAAATGTCGACAAGGGTATACAGAAGTGAAGACAGACTACATGGAAACTTTCAATATGGTTTTGCATTGAAAATTTTTCCAACAACTTGTCCGTATTAATTGCAATGAACTCTGCATGGAGAGGAAATAAAAGAAATTGCAAATGGATAGTGAGTCGCGCAGACAGAATGGGCCATTCCCTATGTCTCAACTTGATTGAATGCATAAGCAAATAAACATTGTGGTAAAATGTACAGAGGCAAACGGTGAACCAATATCTCATTAATATCAATACTTGATGATTTGTGCAACAAAATACCAAATCACAGTTGCAGAACTCTTTTCTTTATTGTAATGTGGGAAAAATGCTTTTGCATAAATTCATACATTAACCATATTTTCCACTGCACTGACTTTTATGTGGTTATTTGCCGTATGAATTCGCATTTTTCCACTAACATTCAACATACACTGTCGTTTATGTTTGCTCACATATTAATTTTTGGACTATTTGTATTTGTATAGTATTAACCTCAATGTAAAGCCGCTGCGGGGGATTTTTTTAGGTGTTGTATGATTAATAGCAAATAAGAATTTTAAAATTCACCTTTTCTCCACTTAATAATTTATTGGTTCCAGTGGATTTTGGGTGTCTTGTCATGAAAAAGATGTCCAAAAGTGTGTGTTGGTGGGCAGGTTTTTTGGTGTCATTCCTGACATTTCTTTGTGATGTTGCTCAGCGAGATTAAAGATGCTCAGAGGAGTTTTAAAGAATGTTTAAAATACATATATATTATTTTCTGTTCGAGGGGAGAGAAACGTCTAATACATAATTTACAAGGGATTTGTTTACCGATGGACAGACAAAATGGAGTTCTTTAAGGTTGTTTTCTGACGATAGCCATAAGTGAATTAATTGAAATTTGCCTGTGAAATTATTCATGCCCTGTTGAATTTGTTTATTTTCTCAGAAGCGTCCATATGCCAAAGTTGAGAATATGTCCAATATTTCTTGCTATGCTTGGATGATATGGATAGGATACTAATTGGGTGTGCATTTTTGAATTTGCAGGTCCTGTGACAGTGCCAATGGTGTCCCAAAGTGGCTCACCGCCGATTCCAATGCCCGTCCAAGTGCCGCCCGGCCACCTGATGCAACAGATCGTCGATGAGAATGGCACTCTACGTCATGTGATATTGTCCACGGCCCACAATCAGCAGATCCATGGACAGGGAAGTGTGCAAGGTGTCCAGCACCATATTCATGGCCATTATGTAAGTCTCGTCCTACTTCTACTCCTTGCCTTCGAAAGTCTTATGCTATCATGTGTAAATGCGACACATTCACACCTCATATTAGAGACAGTGTATGTCAGGATGAAGATTTGCGCATTTTTCCCACAGCTTTGTAATGTCTGTAAACATTCCCAAGGGATGAACGTATTTTATTGTGTCTCGCAGAATGTAAATATTTTGTCTCGTCTAAATAATGTTCATGGTGAGATTCATTGGCGAATCATAATAGAATCTCACATGTCATCGCACATAAAATAGCATAATCTTTAAGATGATTTGGTGGATAAATTATCCGGATCGCAACGCAGATTCATTGAAATGTTCACACACACACACATGGTGTTTAATTTTAATCACCTCAAAGGCGAATTTCAGAGGTGTTTTTGGCGTTTAGATTTGATGTTTTCCGAGAAGATAGGATTACCTCAAAAGTTCTGGGAAATGGTGTTTACTCTCAAAATATCACCCACCGCCTCGTGAGTGGTAAAATTATCAAACATGTGTGGCAAAAAGAGTACGTGAAATTATTCCTTCTGTGTTTCTTCCGAAATGAGATACTCTTGCGACGCTTTGAATTTGAATGAAGTCAAGAAGCGATGCATTTTGCTGGAGAAAGAGATCAACATGTTGATTCTAGAGAGTCAAAATAGCAAATTCGCTGCTAAATTACTAAATTGCAGAATTATGCAAATAATATTTTATTTTGCAAAAATAAATACTCAAACACTCATATAACTGGGCGTGGAAGTTAATTAATTATTATAATTGTTATTATAGGAAGACGTAATATTGTTGGGTTTTTGGGGCAACATTAGATGCTCTCGAATGAGTATCTCTTCATTGTGATGGGAAAAGATGATGTGATTAATATTGCAAGCGGCAGCGGCAATATTTTGGCCCAATATTGCCTTTTATAGTTGGTGGTGTTAATAAGAATTTAATGATGATGATGATTTGCGACACATAATTGTGGGTCACACATCCATTGTTCCCATTCTTCACGCATCATCCAGTTGACTCTACAAGAGCATTTTGTTGGCCTGAGGAGATGCGGAAATATGACTTCCTCATGGGATAAAATATAATAATAAATAATAATTCTATTGCTCTCCATTCTTCTCCCTGTTCTATTTTTATATGCAGTATAATAAGAATGTTTTTTCTGCTGTTGTAATTTAATTTTCTCCCTTCTCGCTCTTTCTCGAGGCGCTGTTTTGCTTGGGAGTTTATTTTTGGGTAGTTGGACTTCTTTTCCTCTTGTAACATCTTACATGATATTATTTTAGCATGTTGTATGATGTTTAGGGGGAGAAGGAGGGAAAAGAGTGGCTATGAGTTCTAACTGAGAAGAACACACACACTCAGCATGTGTTAAAGAGATGTTGATAATATTTTTTTTCCTCCATATGTGTTCTTTTTATCAAGCGAGTACATAATTTTAATTCACACCATGATTTCCTTTCCAAGAAAAAGCAATCTGCATAGCGGTGATGAGGGAATTCTCACTCTATGTGTCTCTCTGCAAGAAAATGTTCTTTTCAGTATATTTTGCTCCTTTGATTTTTTTCTTATATATGTTTGAAAGCACGAAAGAAAAAAAGTAGAAGAAATTCACTCTGCGATGCCAAAGCTCTTGTATATTTGTTTAATTCTCCAGTTTTGATGCTATTTATAAGAGGAGAGACGCGCTTGAACAAATTTTTCAGCAATAATGAGGAATAGAGACGGCGATTTTTGGAGGTTTTGTGAAAATTACACGGTACACGAGTTTTCTTTCGTTTTTCTGAAGTCTTTAATCCAGAAATTGGGAAAGCAGATGAGAATCCCATTGAGTTCTCTTGAGTTCATTCTCTTTTGCCTTTTTCCACACATGATATATCTCATTATTTTTTGCCTCGAACACTTTGTTTCTCTGACTCGATTCATTGTCGATCAATCCAGTTTTCTCGGGGGGATTTTTTCGTTGAGTGATTCCAGAGAATGGTATTCTCAAGAGAGACAATCGAATTTTGTGGTATTTAGTGTGTCTTCTATCTGGTTCGACGAATGAGAGGAATCGACACAAGGCTACGGAGGAAATTTGTAAAGCTGGAAATGTACTTCAAGAACATTTACTTCTGGATAGAATTTATTTTGCGAACCCTGTTCTACAGTCAATAGATGTGTGAACATGACACTTTCTTGCCAATAATGATCTCAGGAGAGGAATTTTCTGGTGAATTAAAGGAAAGGTGCCAACATTTTGGGAGTTTCTTCGTCTCGTTTCTTCTTCTAAGCATGTAATCTAACGGCATTTGAAGTTCTTCTTGTCCAAAGAAACGAAGAAGTCAACAATTCCTCACGTTTAGTTTTTTATTGCAATTTCTTTTTTTACGATACTTTTCCTGGGTTATATTGAGTTTCTGTTACAATGTATTGTGCAAGAATCTGTCAACGTTGCGTTGTGAAAGAGTGTTGGAGAATAGAGTGAGAGGGGGAGAGAGAGAGTGGTGTGTAAAAATGCAATAGGTGACCAACATCAGTAATGAGACGGAGTTAAAGAAATATCGCTTCAATGTCCATAAATAATGGTGTCTGTTATTAAAAATAGAAGACGGAAAACTATGACGATTCACCATAAATTCATTGTGTCACTTTCTGTTGTTTTGCTATGGTTCTAAAATTATAAATTTCTGCATGTATTACACGTACTAAGCAATGGTTGGTTTGGAATTTCCAGTGAATACACCGCTCCACCTCATATATGTTGTTTTTAAATTCATTTGCCTCACCATGAGAACATGCAAAAGGTGAAGAAGTGGCGAGTAGAGGAGGAGAATAAGGCAAGAAGAAGAAAAAAAACGTGAAGCAGAAAGTACCACACAAGACTGAATGATTCATTCTTGGGGTATTTTCTTGTAAATACAGCATATAATAAGCTTAGTTTTCTAAACATATTCACATATTTAATGCACATCTTACATACAACTGTAATCTGTTTTTTTAAACACCTCCCTTGTGGTCTAAAAATACAATTTCACCGTATTTTCAATCATCATACCTTCTCCGGAAATAATATTTTCAATGCAGTGGAAGCACGAAGGAGTATTTTATGTGTAAACTAAGTATTCGTTCGAATATTCACGTGTAGAATCTGCTTTGAAATGTATTTTATGTGATATTTGCTATAGAGAAGAGAGAGGATATGAGTTTTTTCTGTGGATAAATGAACAGGGGAAAAGTGAGTGGAAAATTGCATTGGGTGTGGGTGGAGTTCATGATCATGTTTTGAACGACAACATTTGCATGGAGACTACAAACTCTTCATAAAAAGTACTTCAACTATAAATGAGATTAGACTGAATTAATAGAAATTTTTATCTTTTTTCTTAGCGTACGTCTAAACATTATGTTAATAGCATAATGTGCAAATCATCACATTGAGCAAATACATTTCCGATATGAGGATTAGAGTCAGTTTTTCTATCACACGACTTATTTGAATTTCAACTATGATATGTTCATAAATAATTTATGGGATTTGTTGTAGAATTCTTCCTCTATATAGCAAAAGAGAAGTAAAACAATCTATCACAGAATAATTGTCTGGTCGATCATCACGATCAATGGAAGATCACCTCGATTTATAAGAGTAATTCTTCTCACTGTGCTGTAGGTCTTTTTCGCGCGAAAAGGCATCAGGCAACGTAGATGGAATTTCCGGACTCTGTCTTTGGGCAGAAGAATCTGCCAAAAGGCAAAATATCGCCACGACCGTGAAACTGCATTGTGGAATTTCTGTGAATGCCTTTTCTGTTTACACGATGATTCATTTCGGTGCAAATTTCACAAAATCACCACTTCGAAGCACATATTAAATCTCTGCACGCTCGTGTTAAACTATACACCACAATAACTAGTAATATGTCTTCAGAAGACGGTTGTGGAAATGATTCTGAAGACAGAATTGAGTGTGGTATTAAATTGAATGCATCGATTTGATGGTATAAAAATTGTAAGGTTTATGCCGTGTAATTGTTCTGAAATGGGAAAATCTCTGAAACATTCGTTGAACACATAAATTTAGAAGGTATAGATATAATCAGTGTTGTACAAATGACCTCTCACTTGTGATAATCATCCCTGCGTTAGAAAGTAATGAATGTGCAATAAGTTTATCACACAATGGAGCATTTGTGGCACGGTGATTATTAGGAATTTGTACAAATTTGCCATTAAATTGCTGTCGCTCTCTACGGACCAGCAACTGGCGTGGAATTGGGAGATGAGTATTGATGTGTTATGAGCGAAATGTCATACTGTATTTAATTTCAGTGAATAGCAATCTTCCGCGACGTTCTGAACATTAATTGAATCTCACCTATATCGGGTATCAGTGTGTATTATGGTGAAATGTTTCACGTTTGTGTGGCATGCAATATTGTGCCGTATATGCGATTACATGGATGCTATATTTATTGTGCATATATAAAATAATGTATATAATTTCTAATATATGCACATCATACAATACGGAATTGTCGGTAAAGATACAGAGTGTGCTGAGAGGTGCACAACAAATAACGTGATATGGGAGAGCGAGAGAGAGAGAGAGAGAAGAATGAGGTGTAATATTAAACATTTACGGATGTGCAGCATTGACGGTGATGATGATAGTAATGATGGGGAAGATGAAGAGGCGCGCTGGGATGTATGAAAAAAGTCGGTAATACGGTATGTATTTACACACAAACGTCTTATATTATGACGTTCGATTTTGCTTCTGGTGAGAGACTTTTTTGTACTCGGAATTGCTTTTTTTTCATTCATTCAGCACTTGCTATCTCTCTTTTGCTCCTTCCATCCATATCAAATCAAACACACAAGAAGCAACATGACAGTTATTCGTTCCAATTTAAATTAATTTTATTATTTAAACACCAAAACAACACACAACACAAGAGAGGAGAAAGAGATCGCATGAGAGGGGGAGAAAAGAAGCAAAGAATGGTGGAGTGTGATTGTATTTTAAAACATTACCATTGGAATTCCACAAACATTTCCTTTTTCTGATATTCTATCTGTCACTTTGGTATTTGACTGCGATGCACTTCGGATTCTATGCGCCATGGCGGAGAGAAAAAGAGAAAGAGAGAGATAAGAGAGTGGTGGAAGGTCAGAGAAAGAGACAAAATTTCACATTATACCATCCAGTACTTGAGGAAATTTCATTAAATATCCAATTATTGGAGTTGTGTGCATTTATAAGCTCAAATTCAGGGGGTGGCAAAGCCAATGTTGCTTTGAAACATTATCTTCCACATGAGGGCATCATTTTCGCAAACAAGTGGATAATGTAATTCAATGGGCATCCTATGATGCTGGTGACAAAGCTGTATCTCTTCATTTAGAGGTTTTGCACGATATTTTTTACCATGCATTGTATTTCGATTTGAAGAGTTGATCAATAAATTTATCACATTGTAGAATGCAAATAGTATTGGAAAATCAATTTCCTCTCAGCGAGTGCAGATGGTGCAGATGATGTAGAATAGAGGCATACTTTCCACCCATTCTCAGTAGCATAATCAGTGTCAATTTTACATTCCATTCAAGCCATTCATACTTCATGAATATTTCCCACCAAGTATTGGCTATTTTGCATCTCTTGTTACAGTTAAGCATTGGCTGCTTTCTGGAGGAGAGAAATTGAGTGGAGAGACATGAAAAATTGAAGTTTATAGGATAATACGACGATATTGGATCAATAGACACTGCAACATGTGTCAATTGTCCTTTATTGTTGCGTTGCACATAATGTATGTTTTGTAAGATGCGATGAGATAAAGCAGGAAATGTTAGGAGTGTCTAGAGATTGTCTCTTTAGAGGTTTAATATATGTGGGGAGGAGAAGTGAGTATGTTGTAAAAATTAATTCAAAGCCATTAAACCATTACTCATCTGGTAGTTTGTGCCTATATAGTATTTAATTGGCAGTGAGAACAATTCTCAGTTTTGTATTCCACAAGTAGTCAATGGGCCGGGAAGCTCACGAGTGTGCAATTTGGATCAATCAATTAATCAGTATTTGAAATTGATAATTGATGTAATGTCTTCCTTTCTGTTTTGCTTTATTGCTGCAACTGGTGATTTGGAGGAAAGTTTCACATGTTTCTCCACCGCCTCTTTCAAAGTTCAGTAATCAGAGAATGAGTAGCAGTTTAATTATTTCAACTCTATTGTACAATTTTGTCACAGTGATTTGCCATACTTGAATGACGTTTATATTTCCTCTCTTCTAAAAGTGATAAAGTACCAGGTAAAAATTATATATGTAGGGAGAAATTTTCTGTCCGACAATTGCTATTTGTTTGTGTTGTTCGATGAGGAGAGCAGAAAAAAAACAATCTATTGCATTGGACATGAAATTCACTGTGCACTTTAAAAGGCTCTTTTTCACAATTTACCATTATTCAGACCATAAAATTAAGGTCACGAATTTTATTGATGGGAGGCGAAGTAACGCACAGTGTAAAATATTTCTTTTTTTTCGTACATTACATGTAGTTTTTATTAGTTTCCTCTTAATTACCGATCCGGCATTTTAAACTGTGAATTGAATTCCTATAGACCTTTGTTTTTGTGCTTTTATTTTCTCTCTATCTCTCTTTTACTCCTTTCAACTCCACCGACGCTCCTATTGTCTCTCAATGGACAGAGGGTGTCTATTTTTTTTACAATTTAAAGCACTGTGTCTACTGAGAAATCGTATTTAATTCGCTCTCTCGCTTTCGCTGTTTCTCTAGATTATAATTTTGAGAAGTGAATTGAACTGTCATAAAATAGCCATTCAACCGCCTACATATTCAATATCGCACAAGTGTCTTATGTTGAACCGTCTATCTTTTTTTCTGCTGTTGCTCATGTGGAGTTGGGAAAAAAAGAGCTGAACGGGACAGAAATGAAGTTAAAATTGATAAACTCCCGAACTCTATGCCATCATGGAAATGCTGAAGTGTGCGCTGAGGAGGGAAAAAAAGAGATGAGAGACATAAAAAATAACACGGGAAACGTGTCAGAAGATTAATATGGAGGTTTTTACATGTTTTCTTCTTTTTCTTCACTGGCCACGATGTGTAATTGAAGTGAAAATGATAATCACACACTTTCGTACATTTTCGTCTGCGTGGCAATTTTCATTATCATGTGCCGCTGTGTGTTCATGTGGAAGAAAGTTGCGCGGCTTATCAGTTGAATTTTTCAACCGCTTTAGTGCTGTTTTTATTGTTTTTTTCTGACAACAGGGCAGAAAGTTATTTTCGACTGTGTCCCGATTAATCAGTCGATTATTGACACCCGTTGGCACTGCATGTTTTTTTTCTTTTTGTGCGTGTGAATCCACTGGTTATGGAGGGCAGTGATAAAGTGTCTGAGGAGAAGAGAGTCGTCTCGCTGGAAGTTGGGACAATTAAGAAGGTGGTTGAGAAGATTTCTTGTGGTGGAAACTCTAGTGAGGAACATGTAGCGAAGGAGGGCTTCAAATATCAGTTGATCATAAAAATTTACATGGTTGGAAGAAGAGACGTGGAGGTTCTTTTCTCTTACATTCGCCATTATACAGCTTGATTTCCATAAATTTTCATATCTTTCACTCATATTTTGCCATCTAATACTCAATTTGACACCAATTACGTAATATTTTAAAAGGTGGAACCGACATTTCAGTGTAGAATGCGGAGAGAATGAACAAATTGGGAAGGTTGATGAATGGTTAAGAATTGAATGGGGTCCATGGGTGGTTCTTATTGTAGAGAGTTCACTTAAAGTTGTAACCAAAGCCGCTGGCTCATGTTCTTATTAGATAAGCTATTATGATTGATATTGTTTGGTGTGTTGCGATAAGAGAATTGTGCGGCATATGCAACAGGTTTTGCAATTAAAATTTCTTGAATTGTATACACAAAAACAAACACACACACACAGATCATAAGACTTTCGATATCATTTGACATTGTTTTGTTCGGAAATAAAAATTTGAGAGAAAGATAAGAAATTGGTGATTGCGTCAGTGGGAGTTTCTAATGAATGTTTTTGTGTTTTTCTGGCATTGCAGATCGCCGCCAATGGGACAACGCCATCGTTTTACGGGCCCCTGGCGGCGGGATATCCTGGTCCGGGACCAGGTGCACACTTCCATCCCATCCCAGGGGGTCACCTGCAGCCACAGCAGTTATCGCACTCGCCACACTCGCCGTCGCCGCCCAATAACAATTACCACAAGGACGAGCGAACTCAGCGGCAGCACACAAAGTTGCTGAGGAAGTTGGATCAGCAGCAGCAGAAGCAGCGTGAAATGAATTCGGCACTCTCAACTCCGGCTCACTCGCCGTCGCCGCGCAAGAGTGAACTCAATGGACTGCGAAGGACGACACCAGCGTCGCGAAATGGCGCCTCGTCTGTGGGCACGTCAGAGGATGGCGAAGAGTCGTCCAGCGTGCCGGACGAGGAGGATGACTACCAGCCACTGATTGACCAGCTGTCTGCTGTGCAATCACCTCAGGTGTCTGAGGTGATGTCCAAGTCAGCTCTGCTTCAGTGGGCCGCGCCGCCGAACAGTGAGCAAGTCACCCTGAATCCCCGTGATCTCCAGTACGAGGTGCTGCTGAGCGATCGTGGCAAAGATGGCAAGTACAAGAGCATCTTCAAGGGGTCATCGCTGTCGTGTCGCATTCAGGATCTCAGGCCGGGTCAGGAGTACTCTGTGTGTCTGCAAGTGCACTATCAGGAGCTCCAGGGATCAGCGTCGGAGCCGACAGTCTTCACCACACCACCTTGTCCGCCGGACACTCCTTTTGCGCCCAAGCTCATCACGCGAACAAAGAATAGCCTCCAGGTGAGGTGGAACGCCACTGCGGACAATGGCTCGCATATTCTGCACTACATTCTGGAGTACGACGAGGGCAAAGGCAAGGAGTTTGTGGAAGTGTGCAAGACAAAGGGCAGGCAGTACTCGCTCACAAAGCTGCAGCCATCCACATGGTATAGGTGAGTGACCTTTATCCCTTCCTCTGATGACATCCCATGAGACAGAGGATATCGCCACTGGGAATGCTGTGTGCGGTGATAACGAAAGGGTATCGCTGCAGAATGTGGAAGTTATCATCTGGTGTATTGAGTTTGTGGAGCTGCAGGGGTCGTAAAGATAAAATTATCATAATTATTTTTGAATATAAGGCTTATGGCTTTTGGGCTATTTTTGGATGTTTGTGAAATGTGCTTGAAATGTGGAAGGAGAGACTTGATGAGTTCACAAACAAACATTAGTAATTTATCAATTGTCAATGACTTATCATTAACACAGCAATGAATGTGGCATTAGATAATGGCATTTTCCAACCACCTGTTGAATTAAATGGATTCTGATTTCTTTTTATCGGAAGTGTTATATAGAGTTTGGCGTTAGGACAATGACTTTACTGTACAATTAACTTGTCTTTCGTGAAAATTAATGTTGTCACGCAATGTTTAGACACAATAGTTTTCCTCAATGCTGGTTTAATATGGTGACACACTATATATATATATACCCTGAAGAGTCTAATAGTTGATTTCACGCGGTATTAGTGCAAAATTCTTCAGATACTGTATTTGAAGAATCTGTTGGGAATTTGAGCAATTACTAAAGTGGGAGTCTCGAAATTGCTGCATCCTCCTCAAGAGCAAGAGAGATTTTGCTCTCGTTTTTTTTGTTGCACTTCACATAGACTTTTCTTCTTGTAATTTTCTTATTCCCATATGAAATTTAATAACAGCTAAACCACTGATACAGTGTGCAATGGGGAAGTTGAAAAGATAGGGAGTCTACTAGATTAACTCTCTCTCTCACCAAAGTTTTGCACAGCAAAGAACATTTTTCGGTGAATATCTGCGTAATAATAGATGAGGAGCGCAACTAAGAGTTTCTCTCCCCAATCAATTTCACTTTATGAAGTGAGAGGAGGTTTGAAAGAGGATGAGATAAGTGTATGAAATGGAGGGAGAGACTATCAAACACCTTATTTCACTAGCCAAGGAAGAGATAATTGAAGTATATTGAATAATTTGCGATCGCTCATGCAAGAGTTTAAAACTCAGTCCATGAAGAGACGAAGATGAACAGACTAAGTGAGATTATAAACAGTTTGATGAGAAAAACGAGAGCTAATCAATGTATATTCAGAGAGAGAGAGAGAGAGAGAGAGACGAATGGGACAGGAGAGATAGTAATTTTCGTGAAAATGAGGTGGAAAATGTGAGACAATTTACCCATTGAAATGCTCTCATTGTCTCTCAAGTGATTTTCTAATGAGAAAAGTATATCTTTTGATATGAGGATTCCCTCAATGATTTCTCCTTTAACTGTATAATAATTGTAAATTTTAGAGCTGTTCTGTTTTTTGTCTACTAGAAAAGGGGGATTTCTCTCCCTCTGCATAAACATATTGTATTTTCATATCCAACTTCTCGCTCCAGCACCTTCTTCTGTAGCACTAAATACCTTTTGGCAAAGGTGTGCAATTTCAAGAGGGAGAGAGAGAGAGTGAACTGAGAGGTTTTCTCAGCGTAATCGAAAAGTTTGTCTGTGACACGGTTGAGGGATTATCGAAGGGGATTTTTCCCTCAGTGTAAAAGTATAGGGAAGTCTGGAGTGTTAATTTTCCCACATACAAACTATTTTAATTATTAGTGTTGAAAGGAGGAGAAGAGGAAAAGTGAGATGTATGAATAACTTATAATGTTATGAGAAATTAAGCATTGGGTGAAAAGGGTGTAAAGAAAAGGGCTTTTTGGCAAAATTTTCATTACAAGAATCAAAGGGTTGAAAAGCGAGAAAAGTCGTCGTAGTTTTCTCCTTGAGAGTAATTTGCAAGTTTCCTTCGGGGGATCAGAGAAATGCAGATGCTGTGAAAAGGAGGGATTATGAATTTTATGCAAATACCATTGACTTTGTGGTTTTTCCGGGTGGTAAATTGAGTTTTTCCCCCTCTTTTCTCCTTATTTCTAACTTCGATGTCCTTGTCTGTTGCAGTTTCCGTTTGGCAGCTGTGAATGATTGTGGAAAGTCACCCTATTCAGACATCATCACCTTCTGCACAGCTGCTAATCCACCCCCACAGCCCGCGGCGCCCACTCTGGCTTCTGCTACGTCCACGTCGCTGCGTCTGGAGTGGATTAGGCGATCGCAGGAGGAGGAGTATGTGCTGCAGATGGCGGACAAGGAGTCAGGGCATGGGTATCTGCCCATGTACACGGGTCGGGATACTGTCTATGAGTGTATCAATCTTCGGCGTGCCACGGTGTTTCACTTTCGCCTGAAGGCGGAGAATGAGGTGAGTGTGTGTGTGAATTGGGATGAAACATATTTGGAATGTGACTGTATGTTGTGCCTTCCAGGTGGGTTCATCGCCGTGGAGTGATGAGGTGATCTACAGAACACTCCCGGAGCGCCCTGGTCGTCCTGGGAAGCCGCAGGTGAAGGGGAAAATCCATGCGACGAATTTCAAAGCGAAATGGGAACCGCCATCAGATCGGGGTGGATCGGAGATCAAGATGTACTACCTGGAGATCAATGCTGGAGCTGGATTCGAGCGTGTGTACATGGGATGTGACACAGAGGCGATCTGCGACCGCCTCAGTCCGGGCACGACGTATCAGATACGGGTGTGGTGTGAGGGTGCGGCGGGTGCCAGTGCCCCGTCTGAGCCCTGCACTGTGACCACGGAGGCTGTGGCTCCGGTGGCGCCTCCGCCGCCCTTCTGCAGCACGCCGCCCGGTCCCTATGCCACGGTGCTGCGCTGGGAGCGTCCAGACTACAATGGCGGGGCGCCGGTGACGGAGTACGAGGTGGAGATGGAGGGCGGAGTGCCCAGGCAGAGGGTTCACGTGTACAGGGGAAAGGACACGCAGTGCGTGGCGAAGGATTTGGTGCCGGGTGAGGTGTATGTGGCACAGGTGCGTGCCATAAACCGCATCGGAGCTGGTCCGTGGTCGGAGGACGGGAGCTTTGCCGCGGGAGCAGCTCGGCCGGGTGTTCCGGGGCGGCCTGAGGTGGCCGTGAGATCGGCAACGCATCTCACGGTGTCGTGGGAGGAGCCCGCAACGAATGGTGCTTTCATCTCTGAGTATCGCCTCGAGAGTGCCGTGAACAATCAGGAGGATTGCTACAATATCGCGTACCAGGGTGTGCAGACGATGGCCGAGGTGAGGAATCTTATGCCATTCACCACCTACTTCTTCCGGGTGTGTGCCACAAATGCGGCTGGCATCAGTGACTTCTCGACGCTGGTGAGTGCAAAGACGCCCGCCGCCGCGCCCAATGCGCCCGTCATCGACTCATGTGACATCACATCGACGGAGGTGACGGTGTACTGGCGCGCCCCCGATTGCCATGGCAGCCCCATTCGGCACTACAGCATTGAGTGTGCCGATCACACGGTGGCGACGGAGGACGCCGTGACGGAGTACTGCATTGGTGACCTGCAACCCGAGACACTGTACAAAATCAAAATTCAGGCTGTGAATGATGTTGGCGCGGGTCCACTGTCGAGTGCCCTTCGTGTCACGACACTGCCGCTGCCACCGAAACCACCGCGACTCGAGTGCACGGCGGCCGGCCACAATTTCGTGAAGCTCAAGTGGGGCGACGGCAAGAATATCGACTTCACGCGCTATCACGTGGAGATGATGAACAATCGCAGCCGAGAGTTTGTCACTGTGTACACAGGCACCAGCTTCACGTGTCGCGTGCCAAAGCTGCAGGAGCAGGCCACCTATGTGTTCCGGATATGTGCCGAAACGGATCATGCGGGCATTGGTGATTACTCCGACGAGGTGGCATTTGAGACGACCGCCGCGCTGCCGAGCAGTATCAAATCGCCAAGAATCTACGAGCCGGCGGCTGTCACAGCGCCACAGGACAGCAGCAATTGTGATCATATACACGTGGAGTGGCAGCACAGCAAGAATACATTTCCTGATCCAGTTGAGTACATTCTCCAGTGCACACGGAGCAAAGAGCAAGACTACAAACAGGTGAGCAAACAGTCAGGATGACAGAGGGAATATCCCAAGACAAGAATACGCTCATGGGAATAAAAAGTGGACTATCAAATTTAATCGCAACGCACTGAAAACTATACAAAGAGTACAAATTCCTATTGTTTTGATACGTTTTTTTTTTCAACACGCCTACATAAATACATAAAGTCACAGTGTGACGGATTTCAATTGAATTTTCTGAGCATGTAAAGAAAGTTTTCACATAAAATATATGTAAATTCACGGTAATTCATTGTGACATGCGTATCTTGACTGGTTTTCCACACTGAGGTGGGCTTTCTTACTGTGTGAGAAATTGCAATTAAATCAAAATGTGATTTATTGTGTTTTCCACGTAATGAACATTTTACCAATTCTTCTCATATCTTTGCGCGCAGGGCAGAACAATTTAGATTAGAGACTTGTGAGACGAGAAAAGCATTCGATACGATAGCGCTGATGTGCTAATGATCGTAACGGAGTGTATTTCCTGGAATTTCTCTATAACATTTTATTTAGAAGATTTCATTAGTCGTCTCTTTCTCATATTCTCATTTGAATTTAATTATAGAGCTTATTTGGGTAGATTTGCAGTGATAATACTGTTTATCGATGAAATGATGTTATCTTGTGGTCTTTTTGGGTACGTGAGAAAATGATGCACTTATTGTGAGAGTGAAATGTATGTGTGGGAAATTCATCTGAAATGTACTGCCTGAGGGTCAATCGTGCAAAAATAATTCAAAATATTTAAAGTACTCCTCAATTTCTTCTCCTGAAGCACAAAGTTTAACTTCAACCACATGAAAACCGTTTTATTTAATTAGCAAATAATTCTGTTTATTGTTTTAAGAGGAATCAATGTGTGTGTGTGTGTTTGTTTGTGTAGCAGAAAGAAGAAGATTGACATAAAAGAAAGATAAATTGTGAGAAATTTATTGCGTAAAGGAGACAAATTGCTTCAGAGATTTTTTTTTTGTTAATATTTCCAATTAGAAATCCAATAATGTGATATTTGTATTATTGCAAGCTTTGTGACAAATTGTCAATAACATTTTCTGTTCAAGAAAGTCCATTCAATTATCGCAATTGGGACAGTTTAAGCAGGAGAAATGAGGGGTCTAATGATTTGGTATGGTCTATAAATAGTCTCAAATCTATGAGATAAGCTTCTGTACTTGGACATTTTCCTCAGATTGAAGCTCAAATTAATGTAAAACAAGGAAGATAAATTGTAACACAATATCAATCGATGATTGTTAATCAATTATTGTCTCTTTCTCACTTGCAGATCTACCGTGGTCCAGAGACACGATTTACAGTGGAGAATCTGGAGTGTGGTGTGGAGTATTGCCTGAGGGTGTGTCCTGTGCGCCTAATGGCGACAGGTGAATGTCTTCCGGGGAGTTTCTCGCCTGTGCTGCGTCACCTTGTGCCACTGAAGTCAAAAAGTGTGATTGATTCAAATGCAATTAGTGGCGGTCATGGATTGTCCAGCGCCACGGGAGCTTCAAGTGTCCCAAGTCAGGCATTTGACGACAATCTCTCCAATGTTGGTGCTGTTCAGAGGATTCTCGGCCGAGTCACGACAATCTATTCATCCCGGAGGAACTTCACGGATCAACAGAAGGCCATCATAATAGCAATTTTTCTCATGATCGGAAGTGTTATTTTAGCCTATGTCGTTAAACTTTTTAATTTCAGCTAAAATGCCTTTTTTTCTCCATGCATTCTGAACAAAGAGATGAGAAGAGAGAAAAATTCTCAGAGAGCTAAAAGAGGGACAGGCTGAGAACAATGATACAGTAAAATGGAAATAGGACGTAAAACACACACACACACACATATTCATAGTAATTGCTAAAGAATCTTTGTGATTGTCTCATTTTGTGCATTCTCTAAATGCTCTTCCGACTTATTTTTGTTGTTTAGTGAAGACTTTTCTCTAATTCATTCTTGTAAAATTAAGGATAAAATATCGTTTGTTGAATAGGGACAGTTTTTGTTTCGGAATTGTCCACTAAAACATTTTCTCTAATTTTTCCTGCTTTTCTTATTGACAAGCTATTCTTATACATCTCACACTGCAATGATGTCTACTTATGAGAAAATTTATGCCAATTCTTGTTGCAATTCCTGTGGGCTTTAAATATGTAAAAGAAGAAGAAGAAGATGGAAGGAAAAAAATAGGATATCATGCGCAAATGACTTTCTAAAAGTAAATGTAATATTTCCCAACATTATCTCTCTCTATAATGGTGAAAAATTGTAAAAAAAAAGAAGTCTTATGTGAAAAACAAAGAAAAAGTTAGTACGTTTAAAATTACACATACTAAATGAAGAAAAAATCTGTAATAATCATGAATAGTTAATGTAGATAATGGGTGGCATGAGAGGAAGTTAAGTTTTCTTTTTTAAGTGCAAGGGAGAAATTGCGAATTGGGAAAAAGTCTGGTCTATGCTGTTCTTATACTTGATGGCGTAAAAGAAGAAGGAGAGAAAAATGTGAAGTCGAATGAGATGGAGAAACAATGTTAGTGATTAAGTGAATTGATGAATAAGTTAGATGGAACATATTGAATCTCTCTTATTCAATTAAAAAAAAAAGAAAAGATACTATGATCAAAATGGTAATAGAGAATGCGTAATGATAGCAGAAACAAAAAAAAAACAAAATGTTTAAGGGGTTTTGGAGGAGGTTTATATATAAATGAAGGAAAATAGTTATAGTATGGTTGCGATTTGTTTGTTTATTATTATTTTTTTTACTTTTTAAGAAGGTGCTATTAACTAAAGTCTAGTTCCATTCAATCTTATTGAGAGAAGGTGTAGAAATTGAAGATGAAGAAGAGAAAAATTAAGAAAGAAAACATGAGGATAAGTGAACGAGAACACAAAATAATTATAGTGACAGAGCAGAAAATGATATGTAATATTTATACAAAACAAAAAAAAAAACATGATGAAAATTTATCTAGTTGGAAGAGATGAGAACAGACGGTCAAATGATTTCTTTTTCCACAGTTTTTGTGTTTCTTCAAATGCAACATTGAGCGTGAGTGCGGAAAATGCAATGAACTTTTCTTACCACAAGGAAGTGACAAGTGCACTAGATAAAATTTTTGTCGGGGCTTATGTTAAAACAACATTATATATTATATATACAGGTAGTTTTATTAATTGAAAACATGATGAAAAAATCGCGAGAAAACATGATAACAGAGAAAGAGAGGAAAAAAAACATTTTTATACGAAAGATGATGAATTATAATATAGGAGAAGAGGAGGAAAATTGATTGTACCTACAAGAAGAAAAAGGAACTTAGGAGAAAACACAGATGGACGGTTATTGTAATTATTTCGCTATATGGTGGAAACGAAGATCCGTTGTCTCAAGATGAAATGATGACTGTAGCATGATAGGTTTTATGTTGGCTTTTTTTTGCTACACTTCTAATCTTTATTCATCCATAAGCCGGAATCACACATTACACAGTCGAAAGGCAATGGCAGATTAAATCGCGTGGCATTTTTATCACTCTTCTGTGCAAATAATATTGCAAATTTTTGCAAATTAGCTATTTAGCTTAATGGACTACTTAAGACGTTACTCGGGATTTTTCCTACTGTTTCGATATGGTCTCCTTTTTTTAATAGGCAAGTCATAAAGCGAGATCTTTTATTACGACAGAACGATTCAGTCGTTGCTTTGCGGCGGTCCCGTTTTTCTCACTTTGACTCAATTTTTTATATATAAACACACTTTTCAATGAATTGATAGAACATTTTCAACTGGTTATTCCATCCGTACAATGGCCTATGTGTGTAGAGAGAGAGAGAGAGAGAGAGAGAGAGAGAGAGTTGTTTAACAAAAAGGGGAAAAAAAAAACGATACGAGAACATTAAAAACAATGAACAAAGGTAGTGAAAAAAGCGTCTTAGAAAAGTTACGAGTTTGAAGAGAAAAGATGAAGAGAAGAAATGCTATAAATATTTTTTGAGTAATATTTACATGGAGATGAAGATCATTTTATTTCTACATTATCTCTTGTGCAATATATAAATAATTTTTTTTATAAATGCAATTTTTCTTTTAGAAGGAACGATGTAATTTATTGCGTGTGGATGAAGATGGGTGAAAAGGGGGATTTTTGTAATGGGCAGAAGAGGGAAAAGTGGAGAAAAAGAGTCCTAAGAAAACCGAAGATTCAGTATTTTATTTAGTTTCAGAGAAAGAAGCTCTTTTTTTTTAAAGCATAAATCTTTTATACAACAGCTACAAAACGATACATTCCATTTTATAGAAGAAGAGGAAAAAGGAATCAAAGAAACATGAGTTGATGATTATTATCTTTTTTTCCCTAATTATATACAGAAAATGATGCAGTGACGAACGTGTCTAATATTACTCAAAAGTGTTCCATGACATAAGATTTGAAAATTGAGGAAAGAATTTGACAAAATCCTAAGTAACTTTTGCATCTAAAGGATTAGAGGATGAAGGCAAAAAAACATGACGATGAAATTGCATTTTAGATGAAGCAGCGAAGCTACTTTTTAAACGGAAAAGATGATGAAAAGGACAACAAAACAAAGACGACGAAAACTGCTCACAAATTTTATTCTTTCCATGATGTTTTATATTCAGCTGGCTAAATATTAATATCACAAGTGTTTAAATAAACAATAGAAGATGAAGTTGATGGAGATTAAATTGTAAACTATTCCAGAATATACCAAACAAAATTGAACAGTATTGATGATGGAAATAAAATAATTATGATGCTAAAATAATAAAATGTGCATGCTATTAAGACAAAATGTGAGAAAAACTCATTGCTATTAAATGTGAAAATAATGTGTAAAGTTCACGAGAAAGAATTTCAGTGGATCTTTTATAAAAACCTCTCATTGTGTGACGATAATCAAAATTTTATTCTCCAACCCCATGAAAAGAATATTAATAATAATTAAGTGAAGCTCCTCTTAATGGATGGAACGATAAAGAATTTAAACAAGATTATACACTCACACATCAACTATCCTAAATATTTAAAATATATAAGTGAAAAAGGTGGAAAAAAAATTTATTGACATATTAATGGCAAAAAAATAGTGAAAATGAATGAAAATAACCACATTTATTCGCATTTTAATCCGAATGTTTGGACGCTGGAATTGAAATGACAAGAAATATGACAATTTTAGAGGCGAAAAGTGTCAAACACAAGAGTGAAGAGAACAAAGCATGAAGAAATTAAGGAGAAGTAAATAAAAATCGAGTCAAGATTGTAAAATGTTGCTGAAAAGAAAAGAAGGATGGAAGAGGAAAATTTTGAGAGATGAGAACGGAAAAGGAAAAAAGAATGTAGATTTTATGACTATTGATGAGAAGAAAGATGATGAAAAAAAGAGGAAACACAACTATAAAACAATTTATTGTGTACGATTATTAATTATTAATGGATAATAATTAACAATATATGATGGAGATGAGAAAAGCATAAAGTAAAAAATCTATATATGTTATGTAAGACATTACAATATTGATTATAATTATTATATATATAATTATGATGAAAACTATTAATAAAAGAATATATATATATATATATTTTATGTAAAAAATAATCGATGTTTTTCACTTTACAAATGAAAGAAAACCCCTTGGTAAACTTTTTGAATTCGCTCTCGCGGATTAAACTGAATTTCATGTTTCATGTTTCTTCGGTGTTTCTCCGAGGTTTTTTTTCGAAATGCGGCGTCGAAGGAAACTCGGTCAGCTGAGTGTCGGCCAATGTGACGTCTTGAGAGTGCAAAAAAATCGGTTCGGAAGCAAAATGTGAACTTTACTACCGTGTTGCAAGCAATTCTTATCACAAACGCATGATTTATGAGTTTCCTACTCTGATAAGAAGTCCATAAATCAAGTGGAGGCCGTTGTGGAGCATTCGTGCATTTTTTGCGCTCGATGAAGCGTGTCTTGAAAAAAAATGTGAAGTTCCAGAGTGAAGAAGAATAGGGCCATGGATATGCCTCTGAAGGACTTTGAGATGAGTGATTCAGAGACAGAACTGCTGCTTGATGGCCAAAGTGATGTGAACTATTCAGTAAATACGCGGCTATTCCGCAACAGACGCAGAAGGACATCTTTCTGGTCGTGCTGCAAATGGCTCTGTTGTGGGTGAGTTTATGTATTTCTTTCTACTTGAAATCATTTGTTGGGAAGTATTAATGATGTCTCTGTGATAATTGCACTGAAAATGTGTGAGGAATTGGGAAATTTGATATAAAACAAGATGATTGAATTGTTTGTTTTGGAATTCGCAAGGGGCATTGGAATTTCGGGCAGAATTCGATAATCCCAGATGTATGTGTGATATGATGATTTATATTTAAGTCTCTCTTTATATGACTTATTGGGTCGATTTGCATAAAGATCTTGTACTCCTCTTTATAACGAACTGTTTACTCTATGATAGAAAGAAATTGTAGTGTATTTACCTATTCTTGCCTTATCTTTTCGTACCATATGGATTGTTCAACCGGGCAATCTTTCGACATTCCAGCTGACACTTCCAGTGCTGTCATCTCAGTGGAATATTTCCAGTGTACTTGCAATGTTTTGCCCCTGAGACTTTTCTCAGCACCTTGTGATTTTATTCCCTTTAGTTTTCTGTTGCTTGTGGCGTGAAAAATCGTGAAAATTGCCGAGTTAATAAGTTTGAACACTATCATGGACGATACATCGCAGGGCGCGCCACCGACGCCGGTGACAAAAGAGACGGCCCCGCTCATTACAAAACAAAGGCGACGGACATTTTTCTCTGGGTGCGAATTTCTCACCAACCATGTCACGCTCCCCCGCGCGCTTTTCTGCCAGCGCACGATTGATTATTTGTCCGTGTTCTTGCAGATGCTGGTGGTGGCTGTGGCGAAAGTGGTTCTCCGCGAAGGAGTTCCGCTCCCGGACGGTGCACATCGGGAAGCACTGCGACGAGAAGTTCCCTCCCAATGAGATCCGGAATCAGGTGAGCGCGAAGAAGCTCTCGAGCGCTGGTGACTCATACTGATTGTCTGTGCTTCTATATTTGCAGAAATACAACATTATCACATTTCTCCCTTTGGTGCTATTCGAGCAATTTCGCTTCTTCCTCAATCTCTATTTTCTCATCATGGCACTGAGTCAGTTCATTCCGGACATCAGGATCGGCTATCTGTACACCTACTGGGGACCATTGGGCTTCGTTCTCACCGTAACCATTTGCCGCGAGGCGGTGGACGACATGCGACGCCACCAGCGCGATCGCGAGGTGAACTCTCAGAAGTATAGACGCCTCGTGGGAGCAGACAGGGTGCCAGAGATGGTGCCATCGTCCAAGCTGAAGGTCGGCGACATCATCATCGTGGAGAAGGACGAGAGGGTACCAGCAGATCTGGTCTTGCTGCGAACTAGTGACCGAAGTGGGGCGGTTTTCGTGCGCACTGATCAACTGGATGGCGAGACGGATTGGAAGCTGAGGCTGGCAGTGCCGGCGACACAGAAGCTGGCTAGTGACTCCGACCTCTTCAACCAAGGCGCTAGTATCTACATTGAGAAGCCACAAAGAGATATTCACTCGTTCATTGGGACCTTTTCGAAGGTAAAAATCACATTTATCGCCTAACGTTTCACTGATTTATTGAGCCTGTCGACAGTTACTTCCACCACACCTCACTCAGGGGGTCGGGAAAATGTGTTGCCATTTGATGCACACTTCATTATATGGCAAGATATGTATATAATTCAGTATTGCATATAGTTCGTTGTGAAATGGCGTGCATGGGAGTTAATGATAGAAGTAGAAACGTGGAGAAACACCCACTGTTGTATAGAATTTATAAGAATGCTGACCGTGTTTGCCATCGATTTCCATAAGAAAGGGTTGCGCCTTCCCCTAAATGCAGAGTGGGCGTTTAAGGGCAGTCAAGGAACTTTTACTCAAGCACTTAATTATAAATCATTTGTAATTGGGCCATTAAAAAGGGAAAGTTGGGGATGTTTTTCTCTCACATTTCATCAATTCCTTCTGTTTCGTTACAAAGAGAATTGTTTTAATTATGAGTAAATCAATTAGGCAATATTTTGGAAGATTTCTTGATGAATCACTGCTTAACTTGGAAATATAATTGTGGTATTATGCAAATTGATCGATAAAATAATCTAGACTAGAACGAATTGAAGAATTCTCAGAAGAAGATTATTTTGTAGTTATGAATGTTTCCTTTTAACCTTTATCTTGCGTACATGTTTAGTCTTTTAACCGGCAATAATTTAGGGAATTCCCAGTGAAACAGAGGCAAATGCCGCCTCACATCTCAATGATGTCATTCTCTTCAGCAGGAAGGCTCGGAGGAGGAGAGTCTGGACGTGGAAAATACTCTGTGGGCCAACACAGTGGTGGCGGCGGGCACGGCCACGGGAATTGTCGTGTACACAGGCAGTGAGACGCGCAGTGTGATGAACAATTCGCAGCCACGATCGAAGATTGGTCTGCTGGATCTGGAGATCAATGGCCTGACGAAGGTGCTGTTCTGCGCCGTGATGGGACTCGCGCTGGCGATGATGTGTCTCAAGGGATTCAATGGGCCGTGGTATCGATACATGTTCCGCTTCGTCTTGCTCTTCTCCTACATCATTCCCATCAGTTTGCGCGTGAATCTGGATATGGGCAAGGCCTTCTACTCGTGGCAGATACAGAATGATCAGGAGATAAGTGGCACTGTGGTGCGTTCCACGACAATTCCCGAGGAGTTGGGCAGAATCTCGTACTTGCTGACGGACAAGACGGGCACGCTGACACAGAATGAGATGGTGTTCAAGAAGATTCACTTGGGCACCGTGGCGTATGGGAATGATTCGTTCGACGAGGTGGCGTCTACCATTCAGAGTATTAATTCGCAGCAAAACCAGCCGGATGTGACGACAAGGAGCAGCGCCATGTTTGCCACCACGCGAATGAGACGCCCTGAGGGTTGGAGGGCGTGGGAGGCGGTTAAGGCGTTGGCGCTCTGTCACAACGTCACACCTGTTTACGATGCAGATAACAAGCATGGAAATAGTGAGAAAGGTGAACATAATCAATATTGTTTCATAAGAAGGGTGTTCTAAAAAGGGTGTGTGACTTTCTTTGCAGATTCGCCCACTCGATCGATTGACATTGAAGTGCCGGGGAAGCGTGAGGTGGTCTATCAAGCGTCCAGTCCTGATGAAATCGCCCTGGTTAAGTGGACAGAACAGGTGGGCTTGGCTCTGGTGGCGCGTGATCTGCAATCTATCACACTGCAGCTGCGTGGATCGCAGTTTGGCAAGAGTGCATCCACGAGGAAGTTCACGGGTGATGGGGGAAGTATTGATACAACGGTGACGAATTTGTCTGCGGAAGGATCTCGTGTGGATCTGAATTCACCATCGAGTAGCAGCACGACATCATTGAACTCATTTCTCGGTGGTAATCTGATGCGCTTCCAGATTCTCCAGGTGTTCCCATTCACGAGCGAGAGCAAACGAATGGGCATTATTGTGAAGGATCTGTCGAGTGGCGAGATTACGTTCTATCTGAAGGGTGCCGATGTGGTGATGTCTTCAATTGTGCAGTACAACGATTGGCTAAGTGAGGAGAGTGGCAATATGGCGCGCGAGGGCTTGAGGACACTCGTGGTGGCAAAGAAGGTGTTCACGGAGGAGCAGTACAACGATTTTGAGACGCGCTACAATGCGGCCAGGTTGAGTGTGACGGATCGCTTCACAAAAGTGGCGGCGGTGATTGAGTCTCTGGAGCGTGAGATGGAGTTGCTGTGTCTCACGGGTGTGGAGGATCGTCTGCAGGATCGTGTGCGTCCCACGTTGGAATTGCTGCGGAATGCCGGCATCAGGATTTGGATGCTGACGGGTGATAAGCTGGAGACGGCAACGTGTATTGCCAAGAGTAGTCATCTGGTGGGGAGGAATCAGGGTCTCCATGTGCTGAAGAGTGTTCTCACGCGTACTGACGCTCATCTGGAGTTGAATCAGTTCCGACGGAAGCAGGATTGTGCGCTGGTGGTGTCCGGGGAGAGCTTGGAGGTGTGCCTGCAGTACTATCAGCACGAGTTCATGGAGCTGGCCACGGCCTGTCCTGCCGTGGTGTGCTGCCGCTGCAGTCCCACGCAGAAGGCGGAGGTGGTCTCCCTGATTCAGCGGTACACGGGAAAGAGGACGTGCGCCGTGGGCGACGGTGGGAATGACGTGAGCATGATCCAACAGTCAGATGCGGGTGTGGGCATTGAGGGCCGCGAAGGGAGACAGGCTTCTCTGGCTGGTGACTTTAGTATTCCTCAGTTTGCCCACATTGCCCGGTTGCTGCTCGTCCACGGCAGACGATCGTACAAGAGATCAGCCGCTCTGTCGCAATTCGTCATTCACCGTGGCCTCATCATATCCACCATGCAGGCAGTCTTCTCGGCCGTCTTCTATCTGTCCTCCGTGCCGCTCTATCAGGGCTTCCTGATGGTCGGCTATGCCACACTGTACACCATGTTCCCTGTGTTTTCGCTTGTGCTGGATCAGGACATCAGTGCCCACATTGCCGTGACATATCCGGAACTGTACAAGGAGTTGTCCAAAGGACGCAGTCTCAGCTACAAGACATTCTTCATGTGGGTCCTCATAAGCATCTATCAAGGTGATTGCTTCTTCCACTGCACAATCGACAGACTGTGTGAACAAGACTAATAGGATTTTCTTCCATTGCATTCTTGCAGGTGGTGTTATAATGTACGGAGCACTTGTGCTCTTCGAGGACGAATTTATTCACATTGTAGCAATAAGCTTCTCGGCACTCATTCTCACTGAGCTGATAATGGTAGCTCTGACGATAAGGACATGGCACAGACTAATGGTTATCGCAGAGATCTTCAGTCTGATCCTCTATCTCATCTCTCTGGCAGTTCTACATGAGTATTTCGGTAAGTTTATCACTTTTTCTGCATGTATTTTTTTTTAGCCATTTTGCTAATTATGATTCTCTCCTGATGCTGCAGATTGGGAATTTATTTGGTCATACGACTTCGCATGGAAAGTGTCAGTTATCACGCTAGTATCATGTTTGCCTCTGTACATTATAAAATTCCTGCGTAAGAAGTTCTCACCGCCGTCATATTCGAAGTTAACGTAGAGCGAGAGAGTAAGAGAGACAGAAAAAAGGGGTTTAAGAAGAGTCGTGAGAACGTGCAACATTACTATATGTGTTAACTTTTTGTATTAAAAGAGAAATAAGAGAGAATAACCCCAAAAATATATTTTAAATGAACACACAAATATTGACTGATTTGTTTATTCTTTAATTATCATTGAATGAATATTTAGATTTTGTATTAAAAAGATGAACAGTGATCGAAATCAGTCTTAACTGCACACAAAGCTTTTCCTCACCAATTTATCTTTAAAAAAAAATCAATTCCCATATTTGACGGATGAGTTTATACGTGTATTTTTATTTAGATGTTTAATATCGGATTGAAGAAGTACATTTTGTCGATTTTGTCCCTTTTATTGTGATAACGATGGGAAAGAGAAAAAGAAAAACCTTCTAAAGTTCTAAGAAACGGATTTATTTACCTCACATCACATTGAGCACCGATTTAATCCGCGACAGCACAGAAGACATGAGAACTGTGCAAAGTGTTGAGGAAAAAAGGAAAAAAAAACTCTTGGAAAAGTCTTCACTAACATTTAAACTATGATTGTAAACTGTAAAGTGTAAGAGAAAGAAATTAATAAATATATTTACTGTTAATTTATTTATCCAAGAAGAGATGAATTATAAATTAAAAATAAAAGTAAAATATTTTTATTGATCCTACAACGAAAAGGGATATCTTAATACTAAGAGAGCAAGATATTGCTTGATTTTTACTCTGTGTTTGTTTTTTATGTGTAATATTTTAAGCATTATGGCATACAAATTCATCATTTGACGCATCTTCAGTTCGAAGAGATGTCTAGAAAGAAGTTCCCACTTCGACAAGGAGGGCACGACGAGTGATGGCATCTCAGGAGAGATTCTTCATGATCCATGGCATAAAGTTGGAGACACGCGTGTAGACGCCCGGGTATTGTCCTTTGCCGCATCCGATTCCCCACGAAACGACGCCCACTTGAGTCCACTTGCCGTCATTGACCATCAGTGGTCCTCCGGAGTCACCCTGTAGAGATGGGAGATAGAGTTTAGCGGATTTCGGTGCATTTTTGCGCCGCGCACTTACGCTACAAGAGTCCCTGTAGTCTTGGCCGGCGCACAGCATGTTCTGCGTGATGCCGGCCGGAGCGGCATTGCCGTACTTCCGGGCGCATTGCTCATTGCTCCAGATGGGAATGCTCACCTCCTGCAGAATCGAGGGCTGAGGGCCGTCTGAGGGGAATGACACCAGTGAGTTTTGACAGTCTCTCAAATGCTGAACAAGGACTTACTCTCCCGGAGACTACCCCAGCCGATCACCACTCCAGTTTTGCCACTGTACGATCGCACGTCGTTTGCTGCCGGCAGACAAATGGGCCGAATTGCCGAGGAGAACTGAACTGGAGTGTCCAGTGTGAGAAGCGCGACATCGTCGTACTTGAAAAGAAACAATTTTAATAAGAAATTCAATGATTCAAAAGTCAAAACCGCAATTCAGTTCAGATTGCAGTTTTGGACAATTTTCTTAGAAGAAATGTTCAGTCTGTAAACGATGAAAAATCGACTTTTCGCGTTGTATTGCAAACTTACCAAAGTGCGTGAATCGAAGCCACGATGGCGAACGACTCTCTTCACGTGGCGCGTCTCGTGTACGACTTCTGTGGTCGATCGAATGTTGTGATCGCCCAACTGAACGGTCAATCGAGCGACATCCCATGAGCTCATGCTGTGAGAAGAGTGAGAGGGATTAAGCAATTTGCCGCTGAATTAGCTGGGAGAGATTAGCACAAATTAGCGAAAGATACTCACTGAGCCACGCAATGAGCAGCCGTGAGAATGTGCTGATTGTCGATCAGAGATCCGCCGCAGAACTGCCGTCCGCCGTTGAAGAGCACCGCGATCCAGGGCCACTCATTGGGATCGGCATTGTGACCGCCCACGATCCTCTCCGAGTCCTGATATCCATTCTTCACGCCGCAGTTGGTGTTGATTCCAGACGGCGGCGAGGTGGGAATCTGGGGCACTTGAGGGGCTGTGGTGGTGGTGCTGGGCCGCGTGGGGAGAATGGGCGCTGGGGTGGTGGTTTGCGGCCACTGGAAGATGGGCGGACGCGTGGGCCAGGTGGTGGCGGTGCCAGGGGGTTTTGTAGGCATCACGGGTGCGATTGGCGCAACGGGCGCAACGGGAGCGACGGGCGCGATGGGCGCAATCGGGACGATGCCGCCTGTGACCCATGGCGGATGGGTGGCGGGAGTGTGATCTGGCGGATGCGTGGGAATCGGTGGCGGCCACACGCTGGGACTCTTGTTGGCGTCTGGTTTGTGGTCCGGCCTCTGAGGGGCTTCCGTGGCGTTATCCTCGTCGCCGGGCTGCTGGGGCGCCTCGGGCTTCTCTTCTTCGGCAGAAGGTGTGGTGGACGGCGGCAGGGTTATGGGATTGGTGCAGCACACGCCGAAGGCCTGAGAGAAGACAAAGTGATCGAGATGAGGAATGAGATGGAAGTGGGACGTGGGACGAATATTGGGGGCAGACAAACAAAAATATTGGCAAAAGAAAATGAGGCATTTAAATTCTGCACACAAATGTGTAAAAAATGAGAATATCTCTGGCGGAGTGTTCCGTGGAAATCATATGGGCGATGCTCACCGGTGATCCCTTGTTGTCGAAGTAGGTGCACGTGTCGTAGTTGCCCAGGACCCAGGACTCCCACAGCGGCAGATTGGGCAGCTTGAAGTACGGATAGCAGTGCTTGACGGACGTGCAGAAGCCCAAGTGGCCGCGGGATGTGAGACAGGCGCTGCCCTCGCGCAGCACATTGCCCCACACTGTCGTCTCTCGCGACGGCAATCCGGGAATCTGCCTGGGCATCCTCGCGGCTGCCAAGAGAGGTGTTTATGTGAGTTTTCTGTTTTTGGCTGAGATGCATTTCGCACGCGCGAGAAATGAAAACAGTTATTTTGTATCACTCAGCGCGGATCATTGCAATTTTATTCCTTTGGCCATTTAACGACTGTCCAATTAAAGTGTCTTCCTGGATAAGTGTGTAGTGTTGTGGGAAACAAGAGGTGTGGCGCGGAGGAGAGAAGGAGAAAAAAATGTCATCCAGATTGGTCAAGTGGGATGAGAAAGCATCCGCGGCGCAAATATTTGCAGGCAATAATCGCGAGCTCATTTATTGTTTAATATCAATAAGAACCGGTTGACACACTAAAATGGATTGAGCGACAGTTTAATATCCAGGTGTGTGACTTCTTTCGCCAGAGATTTTATTATATGGAATTTGCACAAATTCGCATCGATAAACTGTACAGTTTTTTCCGCGCGTCTTCCACTCTTCTGATCTACTTTGTCTCCCCCAAAATTATCTCCCGCAGCCACTTATTGGCCACTGATAAGGGCATTTTGTCAGCGCGCGGAGCTGCTTTTGCCACCTTATCAGCTGGCTCTCTGCGGCGATGGCATGTAACGGGGATGGCAATTTATAGAACGACTTCGCGAAGAGGTGTAGAAAGTGAAGAGTGTGCAGTTGTGCGTTAGGATGTGGAGATTTCATGGGGGGAAAAATTCTGCAATATTTCATTTTGCCGCACAAGTGCAACATTTCTTATCCCAGTCAATGAATTTCAAGTGTTCTGCGCGGCATAATTGGATGAGAACCCGCATTGCAATTAGATATAAAGGTATAAATGTCTTTGCGTGTGTGTTGCTGATTGACCCATCATCGCCGTGCGACGAAGAAGTATGGGCACTTTTGTTTATTCCCCATGGATCATTGCACTGGTCGACCACCAAACGAGTCTTCCTTTTAATCTCTCACCGTTCGTGGCTGTTGCGCCAGAACGCGTGTGCGTCAGGTGATAAATGCATCTTAATCCGGACGGTGGTGTGTCACCTGCAAGGCAGAAATGCGGACATTGTCCTCTTCGCCCAGCACAAAAGAAATTATTCACATTTTGATTGACGCTCATGATCGCTTTTGACGATCATTGGCGGTGATTTTACACGACAGGCTGAGTGAAATTGACATATGGACACGCATTTTTTGCTCAGAATAAATCCCCAGAACGACTTTTGGGGTCACTCAACTAACGCACCGCGGAGTCAAAGACCACGTCGAGTGATAGAATTTCTTCTTTCACCTGCCCAGAAAGAGAGCGAGAGAGGCGCGGCGGGCGGCGGTGGACAGGAAATTCCTGGGGTACAAATTCACGATGAGTGTGATACAAATTAGATGTGCTAAAGAGTGGCTAAAGTGCCCAACGTGACATGCCTGCCGATATACATTTGGGCAGAGCGACGAGAAGACGCTGAAATGGGATTTGGATGGGGTTCGTCGTGTGGCATTGAAGTCTTGTGTGTGTTTCAATTACCATGAATTACAATGGAATCATCCGTCTCTATCGTGTCACCATAGAGATGAGGTGTCGCACCACAAAAGATCACAAGCAAGACAATTAATTTCATCTTTGATGGAGAGGACAAAGGCCCCAAAATATCGATTGATCACTAAACAAAAAAAAATAAAAATTCTATTGCGCGCTCCAAATACAGCAAAAAAAGGAGTTCTTCTGTCCTCCCTTGGCACTCGCGACGAGATCAAAGGCGCGCGTTGTCGCTGGATTCTATGCAAATCACTCTGTCACTCTCTGGCCTCTCTTGCGATCACTGATCACAGCACGATGTCCCTGACTTTGACGGTGGCACCATCCGTGTGAGTCTTGGACAAACTGGAGTGCCGGAGCGACGAGCCGTGTTATATACCAGCCCCCACCAGGTGACAAGTCGCCGAGAGGCGCGATCGCTGCCATCGAGCTCTTGGCGCGCGATCGGCTCAAGTGCGGCATTGCCAAAAAGCCTTGTGGGTGGAGGACTGTCCAACGCAGCACAGCACCCGAGAAAGGGTGTCAAATGCTGGGGCGATCCAGAGGAAATCCACGCGATGTCCGTTATTCCCTTGGTCGCGAGCGGGCGCGCGCAAAACGCCGCGCGAAAACATCACACGGATTGTGGGTGGCGATGGTTGGAACATGAAGAGTAATATTAACGTACCGTTACGCCTTGAGCATTTTTTGACTGGTTCTCAGGTGACATTTTGGGTGAAAATTCTTCTTGCTTCTTTTTCTGCGCGGCACTCTTTATCCCTCTGTTTGATCTTCGGATGTTTATCTTTGGGAGATCTCGTGGAGAAAACGTATTCAGTCAGATTTTAGAACATCTTCAAGAGCCGGAGATTTCAGAATTTCTCTCTTTTATTTACGAATTGTCCAATCTTTACGATGCAACGAGTGCAACGTTTCTTTAAAATATTAACTATTTCAAAAATCTTTCACTTATTTATAGTTCGTTTCTACGTAATGGTCTTTGCGGAAAAGTTGCACGGTTTTGTGGATGCCGCGAAAAATCTCTTTCATCACGAGTAGGGCAGTTTTGGACAGCTTCTTCTTCGACCAGAAAATTTAACTTAAGTTACGCATTTCTCGAGTATTTCTACGATTTTCAATTATATTGCACTTATAAAATTTGATGTTTTTAATGTTATTAAAAACAAATTCCCCCGCTCTCCTCTAAAGTCATATTGATAGAATTTTCCCGAAAGAAGCGCCCAAAAATCCCTAACACTCGCCTAAATAAAATTGGGTGCTTATCAACATTCTCTGTAAAACTGCATTTCGCAATCTTTTGATCAGATAAACCTTCAGAATCTCTCCTTGTCGTGATCAATCAATGTGGCAAGGATTAGGCTTTTGGCGCTTTTGGTGAATTGAAAATAAAATCCAAGAGAAAAGACGCTAATTGACTGTTTATTCCAGAGAAAAGATCCTTTTATTTCCCATTTTTACCACCTCTCATCTGAAAGAATGTTATTTTTGGCATGTCAATCATCAGATGACTCACCATACATTCCCTAACCAAATGTTGTGTGTCCAAAACGTATAATTTTATTGCACTTGATCGATGTCTTTTTGCCCTTTTCGGCATTTTTGCTGCATCGCGAGACCGTTTAAATTTGAATTGCCGTTCTGTCGACTTTCCGGCGTTCCTTTACTGATGAATTTGAAGCTAAAGAAGGAGATCATGATCAGGATCAGAGCAGAAGCTTCCGCATGGGAACATTGAGCAGAATCCCATTGGCGATCTGCGAGAGCAGAGGCTCATAAAACTGCCCACTCTCGAGGAGGATCTCGTTGTGGTGAATGTTCCAGTACTCGTTGATCAACTCCAGTACCACGAGATTGAGAGTGGGATCCGGCACGAGATTCTCAATGAACGTCCTCACTGACTTCACATTGGGGATCATCTCGAACTTGAACACTCTCATGTAACGCTCGCCATCGCGCTCCTCTGCCTTGGCACGGATCTTCCACGTGGTCTGGACGCGGTCTGCGTGGAGGGAAAGAGAGAGTCTCAGGCAACCGAAGATATCACGCACAGTCATTGTCTTACTCAGTGTGAGATTGAAGTAGCCCTGAGAGCCCAGATTGAGTTCGTTGAACTTCCCCTGGCCCTTGTATTCGCCGTCCATGTGCAGACGCGGAATGGCCACGTCCACGTTGAACTTCCACTCGTCATCCGTGATTTGGGATCGCACGCGCCTCACTTGGGACTCACTGAAGCCGTACGCGTTGCCACGCACGACCGTGAGTGAGGCCAGGAGCGTGCTGGAGGCGCGATAGAGGAACTTGGAGTGGATGAGCGGCAGTGGATCGATGGACGTGATGTTGAGCCTCGGAATGCCATCCTGAAAGCGAGAAGAAATTATATATTCCGGTCACACTCGCTGATTGTGGAGTGAAAATATCATTTGACCACAAAGTGTGTGGCAAATTTGGCCGAAAAGCCAAGCCGTAATCAGCCTTGATCCACTCACTTTGAGCGCTGGTATGATCTTCTGCAGCACACTCTTGATGCACTCATTTCTCTTGGGATCCTCGCGCTTGCACAGTGTCGTCTCAATTGCTGTAAAGTGCGCACAATTAAGTATCTTTGCAAACTGGTTGATGAGCTAACATACGTAATTCTGCATCATTCACTTCGTCACACGCCACAATGGCAACGCTGATCAGCACAGCGAAGATCACAGGAAGTCTCATCCTCAACGGTGTTCGCACTACTGAATCGATATCTGCCAGTGTCACAAAAGATCTCCGCCGAAGAGCCCAAGAAGGTGGTCACCGAAGAAATCTAGGCCGCACCAGACCGCCTCGCGAGGTGGTCACAGAAACTCTGTCTCTCCTGAGCCGAGTGGCGACAAGTTTGGCCGTCCGAGTGCATAAGAGCAGCACGTTGAATAAATGATTATGTAATGAACGCAGTGGTGGCTTCAGCGTCGCCGCGAAAGAGGCCAAGAAGCAATGCTAAGAAGCGAGTCAACAATGACCAGAGAACGAGTTTCGGTGCATTGATCTGCGCCGCATCAAGCTGTCGAATTTCTATCATCTTCATTATGTGGGCTGATGAGAATAGGCGGGAAATGGACCTTGAACATCAGTCCATTTCCCCCCTGGTTCACCGTGAAAACTACTTTCACTTTCACATGCTTTCTTTATAGCAACTCTTCCGCGGCGCGGAATTCGTGATCAATTACTCAGCCCTGAAGAGCCCGAAGAGTGTGATTAACATTTAATTCTTACTTTATTAGACACAATTTTGTCAGTTCTGATCTGAGACTTGGGAATTTCTTAATCTATCAATCCAGTTTCCACTTGCAAAGCCCTGTGACCCATCCGGAAGATGGGAAGCGTGTGTCCTGTCCGCTTGGCGATGAAATCTGCCCTCTCGCTGGAGTTGTTCAGCAGATCCGCATTGACTTTGGGGTGGAAGAGCAGAGTGGCTGCCGTATTTCTGCACTTGGACACCGTGGCAGTGACATGGAGGGGTGTCTGATCACCATCCGATGGAGCATTCACATCTGCTCCGTGCTGCAAGAGCAGAGCGGCGATTCTCGCGTTGTTCCATTTGCAAGCCGAGTGCAGAGGCGTCCATTTGTACTCCGTCAAGGCACTCACATTCGCTCGGTACTTCAGCAGGAGCTGCGCCAGCTCATAGCGATCATTGTACGCTGCCCTGTGGAGTGGTGTGTAGCCATCTCGATCCACTGCTTTCACGCACGATGGATCTTTCTCCAGAATCTCCGCAACACGCTCAATATTGTCTCCCTCATCGGAAGCCCACAAGATTTCGCGCTCCAGAGTTTCTGCAAGAGCCAATATATTATCTTATGTTTGATTGGGAAATATTGATATTTCACTCACCATGCGGGGATTTGTCCTCTTCTATGAGATCATCCGGATCATCCCATCCGGATACAAACATTCCCCTCTGAATGTTGGGCACTTGCATCTTCTCAAAGTCCACCAGCGCCGCCTCGTCATCTGATGACAGAGGATCATCCCCAGCAATGAGATTACTCATGTCAATGTGAAAATCAGCAGGAAAATGTGAAACTGCAGAGGCGAATGAAAAATTGCTGTTTGGATGTCAAAACATTCGAAACGCCATGCGCGCTCGCAGCGCCGCGCGGCGACTGGGATCGTGATGTTTTCGAATATTTTGACTGAGATACACTCGAAAACTCCAAGCACAGGAAGAAAAATTGGCTAAACTGCTGAAAATAGGTGGAAAGCGTGTGAAAATTGTGTAGAAAAATGTCCGTGTGCAGTGCCGGTACGTGATTAACTAGTAGAATGCACTGAATTCTGTTCCAGTGTGGCGATAAATTGTAGTGAAGCCATTCTAACCTACTGTGCCTCTTGTCAATGGAGTTTGTTTACCAAATTTGGCAAAAATTGACGGATTTCTCGTATTTTCCAGCCACCTGGGTGAAATTCTTCGGGGCCGCAGGCATCCCATCCAATGTATCGGCCTCCTATGCCCACGCCTTCGTGGAGAATCGAATGCAGATGAATATGCTAATGGATCTCAACAAGGAGTACCTGCGCGAGATGGGCATCACTCCCATGGGCGACATCATAGCCATCCTGAGGCACGCGAAGCTCGTGCATGACCAGAACACACGGGAGAAGGTGCTGGCGATGGATAAGGTGCCGGTGGCGGCGGTTTCGGGAAATCCCATTGGTTCCAAAATTGTCAAATTGCCACCAAAACAAGCATCTTCCGACATCACGGGCAACGCCGAAGTCCCTCTTCCTAGTAAACCTCGCCGCGTGCTGCCGGAGCACGAGGGCAAGTACAAAGTCACCCTGCCGTCGGGAACGACGCCGCGTAGCAAGGAGATCCTGTCCAAGCGGACGCAGATGTTCCCGGAAAAGAAAGCGGCGGAGAGAATGGAGATGGATTCAGACGATGAGATGCCACAGATGAACAAGCGTGACATCACATTCAAGGTGGTGGGCCTGGACAAGCCCACGGGCTCCATATTCTCGCGACTGGGCGACAAGAGTCGAACGGATGGGCGAGTGATTGAGAGCACACCGTCGCACGCGGGCATTCTCAAGAACAGTCCCACGAAGAAGATGGGCATCGTGAAGAAGGCGTCAGCTCATCGCGTGATCTCCGTGAAGCGCGTCCCCGCCAAGGCCACGACAATGGTGGCCGACGAGGTGGAGCAGCAGCAGAAGATGGAACTCTGTGAGCCTCAGAAGAGTGTCTCGTTCTCTTCCGAAGACGAAGTGGTGGAATTTGCCTCCCGGCGGGCTTCGTTGAAGCCCAAGAGCCGCTCCACGGCCACCAATGTGCGTTCGCGACTGGGCATGAAGAGTGGCAAGACGACCACAATTGCCGTACTGCACAAAACGCGCAAGACCATCAAGATGAAGCCGGGCATCATCAAGAGCAAGCTTCGGTCGGACGATATTGTGAATCTGAAGACTCTGCCAGTGCACAGTCGGCTGGACCTGAAGAAGCGCGGCGGAACGCTGACTGCCAATGCTCTCGCGGCCAGGATCGGCGAGGTGACACTCAACACGAGTCCCGTGAGGCGGAAGGAGATGAAGCAGGGCGGCAGCAGTGTCTTCAACAGACTCGGATTCTCAGGCAATCACTGAACCTGCGAAGGAGCGCTTCTTCTGATCCTCATGGACGAACGAGTGAGGGGAATAGAGACGATGTTTGTGTATCAGCTGAGTGTTCTGATTAAATCCCTGTGCGGAACAACACAGAAATCCTTCGCTCACGTTTATTACGAATCACCAGAACATTCGCATGACAATATCAACGACTCCTTGATACATTCTGGCGGTGGTTTTACAATTTGTCACTGCCTGTCGAGTTTCTCGTGAATCACACTTTGTCACAGGCTGAGCAGTTCGACTGGATCTCACGACGCGAGTCGGTGTCTTCTGGAAATACTCCGCGTTCTCAGCTAAGCATTCAGAAATAGAGCCAAAGACTTTAGACACGCTGTTCAAATCTCCCTTTCTAATGTCTTCCAGTTGATCCTCAGTGACTCCAGTCCTCTCAACGCACGTCAGGATGATATCAGAGATCACTGGCGCGATTTCACTCTCGTCACTGTTGACATCCTGCGCTAGGCTAAGTGAAGAGCACAAGAGAAAAACTATAAGCTTCATTATAAAGCTGAGATCTGATGCTGTAAATGCTCCTGAGTGGACTGACTGAATGCTTCACATCTCAGTATTTTATAGTCCTAGAAAAAAGGTCATTAACATTGTAATTTCATCTCAAAACTATCTGGCCGGAAGCGTTGGTCAGTGTCGTCAGCATTTAGATCGTTATGATTTTTTATTTGCTCTGCTGCAGGCTCAGGTGATTGACATCCAATTGCCATAGTTCATTACCTCCTTAATGCATTTATCGATATATTCACCAATTTTTAGGAAATTGATCAAATTGGCTCTACTTGAAAATTGCCACCAAACGAATTGGCGAAAAATCCCGCAAAATCGTTTTGAAATACTTCACCTTTTCTCCACCAGGTGGCTTCGCGCCCCGCTGTGCTGTAGCGCGGTGACTTTTCGACAAGGAAGAAGAAGAGCCGAATGGCGGGAGGGGGTTTTCGCAATCCATTCAGTCGTTATTCCATCGTCCGTGAGGCGAGTTGTGTGTTCTTTTATCGCGTTCTAAAACCACCTTTTATACTGTTGTGTTTCTTTTGTGTGTGAATGGATTTCGACTGGCTGACAAGAGATGCTTACTGGATTCTGAGCCTCTCTCTCATTTTGCCAATTTGTGTGTGATTTCCGCAGTGTTTTCCCGGAAACCACGAGGGGGTGGAAAATCGATAATGCTCAGATGTTGAGGGCAGCAAATCGCGTTGGCCTCGTGTGTTTCCTGTGAAGTGAATTTGTTTTCTTCAGTGATTTCGTTCCGTTTCCTCTGCATTTTTTCACACCGCCCGCGTGACAGGAGCGCCCCCGTGATTTCACAGCCAGGTGGGTGTTTTCTTTTTCCTCCTTTTTGCTGGCTTCATTCAATGTTTTCCAGCCAGTGTGCGGTTTCGTCGCACGCCGTGCAGAATTGCACAAATCTCACCCACACAGTGGCAACAGTGTCACACCAACACGTGCCATTGTGGTCAGTTGTTCCTCCGCAGACTCCTCTTTCGCGGCATTTTCACGCCGACTGTGTGCCCACAGTGGCAGCTTTTCCACGGAAAGTCGTAAAGAAGATGCAATAGTGTCGATTTCTTGGGTTTTCTATGCATTTCTATGGGGGAATTGGTGAAAAAAGCGATGAAATGCGAAGCATCCATTTGACTCACCAACACAAAGGCGGAATGCATCCTTCCGGATTTTCCTCTCACAGCCATCAGCGCCACTGCGTGAAGGATACCTCAAACATCCTCAGTGCAGGTGAATTCGCGCCATTCAAACGTCCTTTTGCGAAAAGTCAGCAGGTACAAGTGACACCTGCACACAAAACATCCGGAAACCCTCAACAGGTATTGACTGCAGGGTAAGAAATGCTCCCATAAGTCCCGAGGCTTTCGGGAATGAGTCAATAAAACCTTTCTTGGGAAGCAATTTCGTTGCTTCACATCGAAAATCTACCTGAGAAGAGGAGACGGAGAGAGAGAGAGAGAACCTGTTCCTCCAGAAAGGGAAATACCCTCTCCTGAGAGCACCTGGCGTCAAGTCACTTCACCTTGTGGCTCGTTTTCAGCAACATAATCCGGGACTTTCAAGGGCTGCGCTGTGCAATCTTATCGGGACTCGATTTCTCTGCTTCTTATCAGCACACTTTTATTGCGTCACATCAACTCGTGTTGACTGCGGGGCTTTTGGTGTGCCGAACCTGCTCTTGGCCAACATGATTTGGTATTTATTGCTTTGCTATCTCTGGCTGTGAATCAGTAGAACAATTGAGAGGAATGCGAAGATGATGGCATTGCCAATAAGTTATTTCCACAATCAATTGGTTTGCGTAGTAAAATCATTTGCCAGCATTTCTCAGGGCATTCCTGAGCAAAATGAGTGAGTTTCTTCAGTTTAGTGGGGTTCAAAAGTGAAATTTTGCACGTATTAATGCTTAAGCTTCTTGTTTGTTGAACCCAGATTAAATTGTCAGATAAGATTATGTGTGAATTGAGATTAGGATTATATTTCACAGAAAACAGTGGTGTTATTATCAGATATAAAACAGATCGATTAGGAGCAACAGACAAATCCAGTGCTGTAGTTGTTTTTTCAGGTTTAGAGTTGGAATTCTAAATGGGCGGAGCATCGAAATGGGCGGAGGCAAATGAAATGTTAAGTTAGAATTGAATAAACTTTTATATTTCAAAATACTCGAGTGCACACACTATTCAATATCACGCGAAAATTGCCTCAAAACCTTCCGAGCAGTCAATTACCTCACAATCTTTTTTTTTTAAATTGATCCTTGGGAAAAAATCAATGAATGTTGTTGTTGAGAATGTTTACTGATGTTTATGGGAGTCCAATTTATTTCTGGCTCCTAAATGGCCTGAAGATTTCATGTGGAGAAGATCAAAATTCAGTGAATCATGACAATTTCTCTTCAATTTGCGCTAAACTAACTTCACGATTTTTGCTGAAGAAAGAGAGAAGTCAAAATAATGGGTGATTTCGTGAGAATTTCCTCTATAGTTAGTTTGATGAAGAAATAACATACCGCTTGAGACATCACAGGCGCTTTCTCAAGATAAGCAATCAATCAATTAGAGGTGGAGTCATCAAAGTCGCTCATCTATTAAATGCGCACTGAAATGTTTGACAGAAACAGCTGGATGATTAACAAGAAGTGCACAGAGTATTTGAAGAGTGAGTGAGAGAAGACATCATAAAAATGACCCAGAATTGAGATGATCTCTGGATAATGTTTAATCTGGCCTTCTTTCATTCGCGTGGTGATGAAGGTTGATAGTTTTACAGTGATGGACAAATGTGTTAAATACTTTCTCTTGCTTTTTTTTTGGAGAGATATTGTGGTGAAGAATTGAGCAAATGACAAAAGAAAAATTGATTGGGTTTTTCGGCTCGAAATTAGGCCGTTGGAAGTAATTTGCAATTAATTTTGTCCTTCACGGTATCTCTTAATCAATCATAACTTCTTATCAATCGATTTGCTCTATGAAGTGAAAGAAAATAGTGTTTTAGTTGAGGTGTATTGGAACTTCAATTCAACAATTCCCCTTAATAGATATTTCTCTTTGATGTTGCTTAATGTTCCCACTTATCTTTTTCCCTTTTAAATTACTGTTATATGTTTTGCATATACATCGTCAATCGTCTGTGTAATATTTCATCACCTCTGTCGAGTTGAAATGTGCTAAAGTAATTTTTAACTGGGCAATAACAGCATTAAATAGATGGGAGAAAACAGTAAAATGTTGTCTTACTATTGACAAAGGCATTGAGTTAAGAGAGTGAGAGAGGAGAGAAGCACAAAAGAGACAATTTAATGGATAAATATTAGATACATAGTTTGTGAGTTCACGTTTTAAAATTTATGGGCTTAAAATTCATTCATTTTCTTATCGCATGTGTTCTTGCAACATCCTCCACACTCAGTTTTTAGGTCTTTTCTCTTCTGTACACTTTGTCAAACACGAGAAGATGTATATTCTATTTATAAGATTTATATATTGTTGAGTATTTTAGTTGATACTTCAGGTCTTTCATTCGTTAGTTGTTTGGCTTGGAAGTGCAGTGACACAATTTTTTTTCTTCTCCTTCCTTTTGTTGTCCAGGAAAACACACGCTGAAGTAACTTTATATCGAAGCCTTTTATGGCATTTTCTTGTTGACCAATATTATGCGTGGGAATAAATTCCATTTGTGATGTGGTCTCCTCTTCGTGTGTTGTATTGAAGTGTGCCTGATATGCCATGATAAAGTGAACGTGTATTAAGTTAATTAATATATAAGTTAATTCGGTCAACGTAATAAGTTGCCAGTGTTACAACGGGAGAAGTGTAATTGCAATGAAACAATCTGTTGAACAATTAATTTATTGTACAATGTTACAGAAAATGCACTCTTCACCAGACTTAGCGAGTGAATTTTCAGAGGCAATGAACTCGTGCATTGAAAACTAATTACATCACACACGAAAAGGTACTCAGAGTGAGTGAGTTGAGACTCTTCAATGTGTGGCCTCTTTGGGTGGGATAAATTTAAAATTATTGCACAGGTCTACCCACTTTTAATGCCCATTAGGCTATGCATAAAATGCTATAGCGTGACAATATAATCTGCATGTATAGAAGAAGTAGTGTGTAGAAAGGGAAATTCGTGCAAAATAAATAATAATAATTCTTGCGAAAGTTCTACAAAAGAACCGCAAGAGGAGTATTTCACTAATTAATGCTCTCACTCTGGATGGAAATTGCTGCAATTTTTTTTCAGTAATTCCTCAAAAAGAAGGCGGCATCCGTGAAGACAAAGAACAAAAAAAACGGTGGCAGCAAAAGTGAGAGAAAAAGTGGAAAACTTTTAATCCAATTAAACAGTCACGAATAGTTTACTTTTCTCACTCGCAGGGTTGAAGAGTTTTACTAGTCCTAATTATTATTGTCTTTTATATATAAATATTAACCTCTTTTTCGGGGGCATTGTGTGTAATCTGCTTATTTATTAGAGAAACCGCAGAATCTCTTATGAAAATTAATATGATTTTAATGAAATTTCCAACAGTGTGTCAGAGGAAGAAATGCAATCTCGGAGTTCCGCATCAATAAATCGTGAAATTTCTTACTGAGATGAATTACGCAAAGTCGGGAGAACTCTCTAAAACCGCTGTCAAAAGATCAAAAGAAGAGATGTTGAAAAAGGAGAAAATCAAAGAAGAAGATTATAATTTAGGCACAAGGGTTTCTTCGTCATTAAGAAAAGTCATGAATTAAAAGCTATTTGTTGTACTTTTTAAAAGGATTTTTTCACTTCTTGTGTGTTTTGTTGATCCTGGTAGTTTATCTTTACTTTTTCATCAACATCACAAAAGTCTCTTGAGCATTTTATCTACGTCTATGTAAGTTAAGTATTCATGTGATGTTGACTTGTCTGTTAGGGTTTCAAAAGTGGAATTTATTCATGGCTTTCTAATCAAATTAACTTGATTTCTGTGGTAAACGACAGCCTTGAAGCTAAAATTCTGGAATATTGATGGCTAATGCATATGTATTATCTCGTTCTCAATGTGGAGATCACTTAATATATCGAGAGAAATTGAGTGATTTTTTCATCTGATGATTTCATTGCGTTCGAAACACATTTTTTTCAACGTTATATTCCTTATTTACTTTGGGAGACACAAACTCTCTGAAAATGGTGTGAAGTGTATTTGAGTTGTTGAATGAAGGAGTTTCAATGGACGTAGGAGTGTCTATGAGGTTCTTTTTTTCGTGCCTCAAGAGAGGTGATTTTATATGGCAATCATCGAATATTACGCATCACAAGCGAGTTCACGCGAAGTATTTTTTTATCCCGCATCATCATTGTCACTTGGAATTTGGAAATTTATCATTCACCTCTGCAATATTATAGTGTTGTTTTTGGCAGAAAAAGAATGCTCAATGGTAAAAAAACAGAGATTTAATTTGTTGATTTCATCTGTGCGGCTGTATTTAATTGCATTATGGAGAGAAGAAAAAAGACTTTCTTAGGCACACTTTCCTAATGTTGTGAGTGTTGCGAGTGAGAAAAAGAAGCCATTGATGGATTATTGTTAATTACGAGGAAGAAGTAGGATTTTCCCATAGTATTAAATTTTCTCTGTTTGTTTCTTCCACAGATTTGTGTGAGCTTTCTTCTGTGTCAGTGCTGGCAGGAGTAAAATATTGAAGTGGATTCCATCACGTATCATCGGGCAAAATGTCTGATAATGATAAGGATAAGGACTCATCCGTCCGGGTGGCTGTTAGGTGAGATTACTGCTCCTTTCCCTTCTTTCCGTGTCTGCCAGACAACATTCCTGGCCTGAGTTGCATTTCTGAGTGTGGTTGAAAAGGGAATTTTATTATATCTCCTCGTGCTGCTTGTTTTGTTAGCTTGGTTTTGTATGAAGTTTAAATTGAAAAACTTCACGCATTATGAATTTAAAGGTAAAAAATGTGAGCTGGACAGAGGCAAACAGTGGAAGTACAAAGAGACTTGTAATAAAAAAAGAAGGCATCAAAGATTTTCTTCTGCCGCAAGTCACGGGTGGTTTAATGTGGCAAAAGTCTCTTCGATGTTGGTAAATTTTATTTTATCTCTTTCGCCGTGAATGTCTTTTACACATTTTTATTGCTCAACGGTTGAATTTGTGGAGACACACGAATTTTATATTAATTATTCACCTCCTCTCGCGCGAAGATCGCCAGATTTGTCTGAACGTGAAATTTATGAATGGCAAAATTATTAAATTAAGCTAATTTCTGGGGAATTCTTTTCAAACGCCTTTTGCAATCTGATAAATGCCGTAGTGGTGATAGGCCAGCTTAAAGTTATGAGTTGCTGAAACTGTTATAAAGCGGAGGATTATAAGCTGATGCTACAGCTGATGATCTTTTTCCACTTCCTCTTCGATGATATTTAGTATTATGTATTTTTGTGCTGAAGCCGAGAAGCATTTATTTCCTCGCCAACATGTTGTTAAACATAGATTTCCTACTGGTTTACATGGATACAGAAATAGTATTTTTCTTATGTGCTCAGCATTGCAATGTGGCATTACATAAAATGCCGGGTTCATTTGTCTCATCTCATGTTGAAATACTCTTTAGATAGTACAAGTGCGAGGTTGCAGATTAAGTTTAAGATCATGCGAAGAATGAGAAGAGAGGAAAGAGAAATATAGGATGTAAGGCAAATTTAAATGCGACTTGTATCATCTTATTTTTATCACATAAGCTAGATTGCAAGACTCTTTCATGTGTCGATGTGGGCAGATATATAGAAAGTAAGAGCGAAGTATGATAAATAAGATGGGATGTGAGAGGGAAAGAGAGAGTGAGCGCCCAACAATGAAGAGATTAGAGAGAATTTCTCACATATAGAAAAGGTACGGCGTGTTATTTATAAATTGAAGCCACAAGTAGCATCTCAATGGAGATGATGGACTGAAAGATATGTTTAGATTGTTGTAGACATAATACCAGAAGGCACAAGTGATAGAATTATATTCACACTCTTCATTTTGCAAGACTCTGTTGGGCTTAATATGCAGATACAGAGAGAGAAATCTCTTTCATGTATCATTGCAACTTCTCACTGTCTTTCGGATTAATTGACGCGGCGATTGTTATCGTGAAAAAGCTCTCTGGAGGCAAATTACTTTTAATGGGGAATGATACACAATGTTGAAGACAGTTAATTAATGTTCACGAAGTTTAAATTGTAAGAAGTGGAAATCAGAGGTAATTTAATTGTATAATTTATAGTCTATCGAAACGTTCAGAACATATAAGAGATCATCACTTTGTGGACATTTACTGTAAAATTGTAATTCCAACACCTTCTTGTTGTTTTCCTTTGGACTCAATGCTAAGATTTGCAGATAGATTACCTTCTTGAGATTTATTATTCAACACCAATAATGTACACGCAACATGATGTTTGCCAAAATGCACAAGGGAAAAAGAGAGAGAGAGAGAGAGAAAAAGCCGCTTTGAAATTGAGTCCAATGATAATTTCCTAAAAGAAAAATATTGACAAGATCTCGATTCGCGTGCGTGTGTGTCGCAAAAATGGCAAGGAAACCATTCCGATGGACAACAAATTGTTCAAGATCACAACCAACTTGGAAGGTTATTTTATTTATCTTTAACACAGTGACAGAAATTTTCATGCATTTATTTGAGGTGCGTTGTTGTGGCCACATTGAATTGAAAAGTGTGTCTCTCATGCCGTAATTACATGCATCCTCTGCATGAGAGATAATATTGATGTAAGTGAAAGAGAGGCTTTATCAGTCAACAAGGTTGGCTATGGGCGTTTGGGAAGAAGGCCAAGATAATTGTGAGGTGTTGACTATAGTTGCATAGTTGTCAATAGAGGCGCGGTTAGTGGCTATTGCGATAGATTTGTCTAAGAGATGTTTCACGATCGGCTAATTATTCCCTGGAAAAACTCATGTCTTCTCACACGGTGTGAAGAGAACAAATATTCAAATGAAATGTTGACTTTATGTTAATATACTGTTAAAATGTGACTTGTGTTTGACTCTGAGAACTTTTTAAATGGCTGAAATTCAATATTTTGATTATTATTTAATCTTCCTGTGATCAAAACATGTTGGCAACATCATTCCAGAAAGTTGTTGGATAACAGTGAGTTTGGTTTTCTTAATGAAAACGATGAAAACCAATGAGCAAGATTGTTTATTAGCATATTAACTATTCAGTGTAGCTGTAATTTAAATGTTACCCTTAATTTGCTATGTAACATTCATATTGATTTATCCATAAATAATGTAGCTTTATTATTATTCTTGGATAGGATTCAGAAGTATTAAATAGATATTAAAGAGTCATCAATATTTGTCTGTAAGCGAGGCAGAGTAAAAAAGAAGAAAACGGCGTTTTATGTATAAATGATAGGAGCATTAGCAAATCGCACTACGGAGAACCCGTGAAAAATTCACATGCTAAGTGAAGACATTGAAGATTCGTGCGTGTGTAAAAAATGATTAAAATTATCCATGGTGCGGTTTATTTTACGTCGTCTTTTTTTTCATTTGTGATGTCATTCACGACCGTCTGTAAATTCTATAATTATATTAGAGAGTGTTTGTGTATTTAATTCAACTGAAAGAATCCAAACATTAGAATTTATTATATTGACACACAGCGGTGAGTGAGGCATCTGTATTAAATATTCTTTGCGTGGAAAAGATTCTCTTCCTCTTAATTGAAAGCATGAGGAAATCATTTTTAGAATTCTTGAGGATAATTTGTAAAGATTGTTACACCGTGTTGACTGGGTGAAAAGAAAATCTTGACTATTTTTTTCAAGTGAAATGAAAGTGAGAAAGGTATGTAATACAGACACAGATTGTTGAATGAGAGAGAGAGAGAGAGAGAGAAGAATAATTAAAAAATATTTTTGGTTTATTACCATGTTCGTGGAATATGGTGGAAGAATTTATAATAACTTGAGTTGAAATGAACTAACACGCCGAAATGCGTTGCTTTTCACATTCATGTTTGAGTGAAAATGCTAGAAATTTCATAATAATTGGAAAATTAGTGTAAGATATTACCACTTTACGAGGTTACATATATTTTAACAAGTTTTTTTTCACCAGCAAATAGTGTAGGCATAAGGAATAAAAAGTGACCTCTAATGTGTGGAAATTCATGCAGAAATCGTATACTTGACGCATTGAGGTATTTTCTCTGCACTTTTCATTTAACGAATAGTTTGTTGATGCCATTAAGAGAGTGTGATAATTGACAGATTATAGGTTTTAATGATATGCAAATATGATTTTTGACGATAATGTCAGTTATGCACACTTCCTAAAGCCTTGATTTCTATTAATAAATAAAGCAGGATGTGCATAAACTTCTAACGAGCGACACGTCGTCGAGATTACAACTCTGAATATGGCTATAGAACAACATTCTGGTAATAATGCACATGTCAGGCCAATGACAAAGAACAAAATTTCACGGTATTTGTGGTGAATGAACATTTTGCTGGTGTGTAAATGTTGCTTTTTTGTCGATATCATGTTGGTTGAGTGAAGGCTGGAGTACTTATCTATTATTTAATGGATAGTTTGCGCGCCAGGGAGGGAAGAAAATGTAATTCTATTGTGTCTACCATGCAGATTGAGCACAATCATCCAGCTGAATATGTAGAACGGCATCACAGCAACTACCGACTGTATGTGAATGGCATCAAATTTCCATAAACTGAAGAAGTGCGCAAAGAGAGTGTGTATATATTTTTAGTATAGAAGAATATATCAAAGAATATAGAGACGTTATATGGAATGAGAAGAGTTACAATAAACTGTGACGATGATTATCGTGATGATGTTTGAAAATGCATGGTTAGTTAAATTTCTGAAGACTCATGGCAATTCACCGTATCGCCAGGAGGAAATTGTCTGCGGATATCAAATTCCTTGTGCACGAAAGTTAAAATTACCATCAGTGACAAGTGGAAGTTCATTGAAAAAGAAAAGAAAAATGTTATGGGAATTGTTGCGATGTTTGAAGAGAGAAAAAAAATGAGAACATGAATTCATTAATCATAATTTAAGAGTTTGATATAGAGTTGTATAGTGTGTAAAAAAAGCAAGACTCATGCAAGAATATCTCGATTCACTTCTTATTGTACAACTCTCAGATGTCTTTCTGTTGTGCGGCCAGGAACAGAGTATTTCTTTGTCATCATCTGGCGTGTCATTTGAATTTTTTGAAGCTAATTGCCTATGAATTGTATGAATTGCGTCTGAATCCATCAACCTACACCTTTTTTTGGAGCACGAATATCGATTTTATTGTGTATTTCACACTCTTTTTTTCCTTTATTGCTGAAAGTGGAACAAGAGTTGCTCGTATGTGGAGATAGTGACATGTGTCTTATGAAATTTTCTCAAACTTTCATTCAATTGTGTTCAATGTATTTATTTCTGATGGTAATTAAGGAAAAAATTTATGGCATTTTACGGTGGAATTTGAAAGATATCGTGATGTGCCATTGCCATCGAGATTCATTGAACGATGTGTGATGGAAAAGGAGTGAATTAAAAGAGTATAAAAGCGGCTGATGAGATTTTACACACTATGGAATGTGTTTGCGGAGGAATATCTAATGACTTTCGGTGTGTTGTCATTTAAAGTTGAGCAGAGAATTGGTTGAGTGTTTCGCAAAAGCTCAGAGAGACTTGATTGAAAATTAGCATTAGATGATGTAGGTGTTGTGCTATTTATGACCATATTTAGCACTTGAATTCTCTCTTATTGAGTTTTATCTCTGGGGCGTGCGGATAATAGCACAGATCTCCTTGCATTGACTCCCAACTGCACACCTTTGGTGGAAAACGAGGGTGCAAAATACCATTTATTGTAGGTAAATACCGCTGAAAGGCTATTTCCGTGCTGAACGGAAGTTATTCTTCTCTTCTATTCTGCGTGTTTTTCTTCAATCAATCCTCGCTGTCTGCATATAAGAACATGACACACGCTCCTGGCTATTTAACTATACCGAGAGAGCATTGAACATTGTCAAAAAAAATTTTCTCATTCTGCACCGAGAGGTTCTTCATTACGTAATGTCTATAGTCACTATCCCGCATTCAATTTATCAAACATGTGATGAGATGGGTGACACTTTCAGTTACAATCTCACATTTTAGTTGGCAATGTTAATTGGTCAAGGAGAGCGAGGTGGTGATGTTGCTTTATGGGAAATTTGATTCATGTTCATGGCAGAAGGAACTACGTCATCTTCAATGTGGGGGTGTTGTCAAGAGCTCCACCAAAAAGGCTAGTGAACTGACTCATGAACACAAGAAGGCAGACAACCAAAGAGGGAGAGAGAGAAGTATTGAGATGTTTTGCTCCAATTAATTCAGCAATAATTGGCAATCTCATTGATTTTCTCGTTCAATCTCTGCATTAATTGGCAATGCCATTCACTTTACGCTCCTCAAATGCTAATACACACTGTAGACTCCTCTCTTCCGTTGTTGGCAAATTAAAATTGCCATCTAAATCGCTGCCACAAGTACCCCATAATATTTGCCGTACAACGCGCATAGATGATTAATAATATTCCGCGTGCAACAGCACATTTTGCTATGGTATTTTGCATACAGCCTTTTATAGAAGAGTGGCTTAGATAAAATTTAATTTATTGTACAATTAAATTAAACCACAAAACATACCTTCTATGTTTATTGCAAGCGCAGAGTTGATGATCTTTCAGAGCAGAAAGTGTGAATTTTATAAGAAATGAACTGCTGGAACCCTGCTTCAACTCTGTTGGCAGCCAAAGAAGAGGTGGATGAAGAAGTATGATGTGGATTTTAATGCAGAAAGTGCGTTGGATATGAAACATGAGTGTCTCAATTATATCCATTTATATACACACACTGAAGTTGTACGGCATGTTGCTTTTTTTTCTTTTACTCCATCAGCATTCACCTCAATAATTAAATTTAATTTTATCACGCTTAGAGCAAGACATCCAAAGGCGCTGTGCATGCTAAAATTATGCGGCTGTTGCTCCTGATAATATGCACACACAGCCATTAATTAGATTGTGATACAAGAACTATCGCCAGACGATCAGTTATCCGCTCAAGATAAAACAGAAAATATTTATGTAAGTGGAAGTTGATTAAGAATTAATTGGGATTTTATCAATTTCATATTCAACGTGCTGAAATTATTCAATCTTCTTATGCATATTGAAAAGCGATGTTTGTCTGACTGATTTTTTTTTCTCATTCAATCTCCTCTTAACGAATTGGAAGTGTGTTTATATTTTTCTTCATGTTTGCTCTTTTTTCTCAAGTCAAATTATCCACGGCATGAATGAAAGGAGAGTTTTGAGATGGAGAAAATGAGACTGTTATACGATTAACGTTTTTAATTGCAATTAAATGAGGTTAACTCTTTTTTTATTTTATGTGAATAAGAGAATTAACATTCAATACTTATTGGATAGGAAAAGCGATGAGATGTGAAATCATGACGAGACCAAACCACTCTTTGAGACTCTCTATCTCCACTTGTCGGTGCGTTTGTGAACAATTGTGAGAAAAGTCAACACAAGGTGGAATGTTTTGCTAGACTTACGCATTTTTATTAATAGATTTTTCCATCGAAAGTCTAATTTTTATGATTGCGCACAGTGATTGATATCAAAGAATTTTATGGCGTTACAATAAATTTTCTCTTCCTCTTCTTTCACTCCATGTTTCTTCAATAGAACATTAAATTCCCATTTTTTGATATTCCGTATGCAATGTAATGTGAAATATAATACGTTATTCGTGAGATGCTTAAGGTTGACCGAAAGAGAGAAAATTGTGATTTCACTTTCGGTGGCGATAAGAATGAGAGAAGAATATAAGACGTGGTAATTACGGCTTTTGTGTTAAAGGAAAATTGGCTGATGGTAATGTTTTTTCCCCACTAAAATATATAAACCATGGTTTGCAAGATTGCCGATTACATAAAAGTGTAATAATAGAATGGAGCAAAAATGCCTCTAAACCACGAACGAATAGTCACAATAAATAAATGTGTATGAATGTTTGCCTGAGCATGACTGCATAATCTTGAGAAATAATGCTTACACAGTTGTAGTTAAATATTTGTATTTGCAAAATCAATTATGAGCAAATAATTCTTCTAATACCTCAGCTCTTTACATATTTCGAGATTTTATGCCATATATTCTCACTTGAAAATATGTACTTTGTGCTATCTTCCATGGCATTTGCTTAAATTGCTCTCGTGCACATGTTAAGGAGTGTAGTATTTATACGACGAATTTACACTGCAATGTAGGTGGATTCATATTTCACGAAAATGAAAATTTTCTACATATTGCATTTCTCTTTTTCACCCACCATTTGACACGCAAGGATGTAATTTATTTCGGTCGCTAATGGTGAGAGAATTTCGCAATATTATGTTTTCCTTCCCATATAATCTGGTGACTTGCGAAGGATGAATGCGGGCTGTTGTGCAACTATGTATAATAATCTGCTTTTTTTGCAATGAAAACAAGCACTAAATTGTATGGTTACTCTATCCAAATTTGGTTGAAGTGTGAGCAAATTGATGAAGACAATTCTTTTATTCCACGTCACTTTTTTCCACAGAGACTTGTTGGTCACCGCCAAAGGTAAAGAGTTTGTGGAGGGAAAAAAAAAGATGTTGGAAGTTGAGTCATGTCAATCTGTTTGCGGCAATTTAAGTAAAACAATATTTATAGAGCATAAAAAGTGATGATAAGGAAGTTGAGTTGGAGATGAGAATAGGTTAAGGTGACCTTCAATCAAGTCTAATTCGGAGTGTAGAACCAATTTTTCATAGAAGCGAGATATTTGATGGATTTATTGAACATTTATTGTGTTTTTTATATCATGTTTGTCACTTTTTCTCACCATGATCGATATTTATTGGAAGAAAAAAGAAATATTCGGAAATGCTAGGTCTATGAATGACTTCAGAATTGTCACTTCGTTTACGAAGAAGCTATTGATATTGGAGAGTAACATGGTTTCAACTTCTTATCTTTCCAGAATCCGCCCCCAAATCCCCCGAGAACTCATCGATATGTGTCGTGTTTGTACTCAGGTGACACCGAATGAACCTCAAGTGCTCCTTGGCACTGACAAGGCCTTCACATATGACTTCGTGTTCGACATGAATGCAACACAAGCCGAGATATACGACAAGTGTGTGGAAAAGCTAATTGAAGGAGCACTCAGGGGCTACAATGCAACAGTTTTGGCTTATGGACAGGTCTGTGTTTGGCTTAATGTGTCACTCCATGTGCATGCATATTGTTTCTCCACCATCTTATTGACTTCTGTTTGTGTCATAATTGCAGACTGGCTCGGGGAAGACGTATACGATGGGCACGGGATTCGACAGGGAGATTCTGGAGATGCAAGAGGGCATCATACCGAGGGCTGTGAGACATTTATTCAGTGGTATTGAGGATGTGCAGACACGCGGTGAGGACAGCAATGGTGTTGTTGTGGGAACAGTTCAATTCAGTGTTGCGGCACAATTTATGGAATTGTACAATGAGGAGATTATCGATCTCCTTGATCCCTATAACAAGGGGAAGGCGTACAAAATTCATGAGGATCCGAGTGGTGGAATTTCTGTTTCGGGTGCGACTATTAAGCCAATTGCAGGGCCACAAGATGCTCTCAGGTTAGTGTAATACAAACTCAAAATGTTAATGTTTCTCTGTGAGAAAATCCTTTCTGTGTCAACAGATGCTTACAGCAGGGCGCTTTGGCAAGAACAACAGCTTCCACTCAGATGAATGCGCAATCTTCGCGAAGCCACGCACTGTTTACCATCCTGATTCGACGGCAGCGCGTGATGAGTGCCGAGGAGAGTGGAATGCCTGACGGGGATTTGGAGACTCTCACGTCCAAGTTTCACTTTGTTGATCTCGCTGGATCTGAGCGATTGAAGCGAACTGGGGCGACAGGAGAGAGAGCCCGTGAGGGTATCTCAATCAACTGTGGTCTCTTGTCACTGGGAAATGTCATCTCGGCGCTTGGAGACAAGTCCAAAAAGGCCTCTCATGTTCCCTACAGAGATTCCAAACTCACCCGATTGCTACAAGATTCGCTGGGAGGTGAGAAATCCATGGTTCTCGATGGCCTTTCATTTTAACCTTCTCAATTTTCTCCTTATAGGAAATAGTCAGACGGTGATGATTGCATGCGTGTCTCCGAGTGATCGTGACTTCATGGAAACCCTCAACACGTTGAAATACGCGAATCGTGCGAGAAATATCAAGAATCGCGTACAGATCAATCAAGATCAGAGTTCGAGGACCATTTCACAGTTGCGCAGAGAAATTGCGGCACTGCAGCTGGAACTGTTGGAGTACAAGCAGGGCAAGAGGAGTGTGGATGCTGAGGGCAATCCAGCCGTTTCGGACACATTCCATGAGAATGCCATGCTGTTGCAGGACAATAAGAGACTTCAGCAGCGTCTCAAGGCAATGCAAGAGTCTGTGAATGCGCTGACAGAGAGAAATGCGGAGTTGCTGTCAGAGAAGGCGATTGCTGGATGGGGAGCGATTGGGGATTCGGATAAGTCGATGAGTGAAATGGTGGCTGGATACTTGAAGGAGATTGAGAAGCTGAAGGCGAAGCTTATTGAGTCGGACCAGATGTATCAGCAGTTGAAGAAGACCACTAACACGCCGAGAGGTTTCAATAAGAATCAGTTCTTTGGCGGTGAAGATGCCGATGGTGTCTTGACGCTGGCCAAGAGGGAAATCGAGAAGGAGCGAGAACTTCTTATGTCCAGATCTCTGCCCGGACTCGATGATACCAACAATCAAAATGTGGAGAACGAGTCTGATAGTGATTCTGACACGGAGTCTGATGATAAAAGTAAGTTGCTTGGTTTCATTGAATTTTCTGATTTTTAATTTTCATTCTGCAATACTATTAAGTATAGCTTAGTTTATTGAGCAAGAAGAGCACTATATTGAGAGAAAGAGAAGAACCTTCAAGTTTCAAGTTCATTTTCAACTCGTCTCTCTTTACTGCTCCATTTATATTTGTTCCGGTGAATTGCACACTAATTGCTCGTCTATTTTCCCTATATCTCGTGCAGCTGGTGAGATGCAAGCTGAACTCAATGATATCAGTTCGGACATTGAGTTGAAGACGAAGTTGATTGAACAATTGGAGCTCTCTCAATTACGAATGCGTCGCATGCAAGAGCACTATGAGGAGAAGCTGAATGTCCTGACCGCCAAGATTACGGATACACAGCGAGAGAGGGACAAAGTGTTGGCCAACATGGGTGCGATTAATCCCAGTGGACCGCCCAGTGACAAGGTGCGGAAGGTGCGAGATGAATATGAGAGAAAGCTGGGTGATATGCAGCGAGAATTGAGGAAACTCCAGGCGGCACAGAGGGAGCACAAGAGGCAGCAGCGCGAGTTGCAGATGCAAGAGGCGCAGCTGAAGAGCCTGAGGAGTGAGCTGTCGGACTTGAAGAGCAACAAGATCAAGTTGATCCGGCGAATGAACGAAGAGGTGAAGAGGCACAATGAAGAGGAGACTAGGAAGTCGCGCGAGATTGCTCAGTTGCGAAAGGAGGCGCGAAAGCATCAGAACACCATCAAGAGTCTGCAGGCTCAGGGTGCGGCCAAGGATCAGGTGTTGAAGAGGAAGACTGAGCAGGTGTCTGCCCTGAGACGCGTCCAGCGGACACCGCTCAGCGCTAAAGCGTCCGGAAGGGTGAATGGCAGGAAACACTTGGAGGAGTTTAATGTGAGACAGGCGCGTGCCAAGTGGGAGACACTGCAGAGGACCATCTCGCGGGCTGCTCGCAGTCGTCAGGCTGTCGTGGAGCTTGAGAGGGAGTTGGAGCGTCTGCTGAATGACAGGGACATTCTCAGTCATGATCTAACGAATGTGAAGAGGCGCCAAAAGATGCATCCAACCAGCGAATTGGCCTCCGAAGAGGATGACATTACATCGAATTTGAACTATATTCAGGAAAATATTACACAAGTGCAGCATGCCATAATGGAGCTGGAGGAGGGCAAGGAGTCGGCTACTGAGGCGCTGTCCATGCAGAACATCCTTGAGAGTGTGCACTCGGTGGAGGAGGCGATTTTCTTCATGGAACGCCTCTGCGGGGCTGCCATTTCTCAAACGTGTGATGTTGCCATTACGGAGATGCGTCTCAAGGAGCGGGAGGCCTTGTTGAATGAGGTGCAGCAGGACAGTTCCATCCAGCAACAACTTCTTCAGCATGTCCTCTCACAGACACCCGTCAGTTTCCCCGAAAGCTATGCCGGAAGTTGCTCCAATGCTGGCCGCCAATCGCCCACAAACTCCATCAGCAGCACCAGCACCTTCGACATTCCGCCCAGTGCGTCCATTCTGCATACGGAATTTTCTCGAGACGCCAACAATGGCTTCAGCCCTTCGAGTAGCAGAAGTCCATCACCAGGATTTGATACGTGAGTATGACTGCAGTGCATTCAATTGGGGTAAATGATGCTCCTTTGTTCTCGCAAAGCTTTAATGTAATATAAATTTCTCAGGCACAGAGCTTTGGGCACTTCAATTGAACGAAGAAGATGTCAGAAAGAGAATAATTTGTATCAAGTCGTTTATTTTACTGGATGAAAATTCTTTGTGTGGGGAAAATGAAGATTGTTACGATTCATTGGCGGCTATTTCTTGCATTCAGTTAGCTTTATATCTCTCTGTGTGGTATAGAAATTAATTCGTCTTCTTGTCTTATCGCAGCGATAGCACCAGGAGTTCAATGAGAATGACTAAAGTCAGACGATTAAAGGCACAACCTCAGGAATTACTATTTGGAAGTTCCAATGAAAAGGTTCGTGTGATAATTATTATTTTCTGTCCGCGAAATGGGCAAACTTTGAACAGAGTGAGAGAGAGAGAGAGGGGCCAACAGCGGAAGTGACTTGCTCGCAGGATTGCGAAGGAAATTGGCAAGCTGTTGGCCCCCTGAGTGTGTATGTTTCTGAGGGAAGCGTGATGCTTTGGCAGTGAGAAAATTTTGAGTTCTATCTCACACTCCGTGTCTCATTTTACACAGGACGATAGCATGACGAGATCTTATCATCTGCAGCAGGAAAGTGGGCGAAGTTTCATACCAATTTCCCGTGTGCCAAGTGCTCCAGGTTCACTAAAGTAAGAGCGCTCAAGATATTCCCATACACACACACACCGGGTGTGTTTAACTTTGGGAGAGTTTGGGGTCGGAGGGCTGGAATGGAATAGTAATCAATTGAATTAATTTGTACCGCCAGAGGCCTCCAGCCAAATCCAGCCCCACAGTCACTGAGACCACCCAATTCGCCGCTCTTCCCACGGAAATCCTTTGACACTGCAACACCCCTGTCGCCAAGGCTTACGAGGCGTCCCTTTCCCAACAAGGCATCGCCAGGATTGTAAGTAGACACTCAATACACAATCACATGCTCCTAATTTGTACATTTTGGGCATATAAATGATAAATTCAAGCATTATTGATCAAAGTGAGAACAGGGCGGTTTTCACCATTTCCCTGTCGTCTGCACGGGGGAGAATTTTAATTTAATCATAATGTATTTTTCGGTGGGATTTTTGTACGTTGCAAATATCATTAACATATTTTCATATGATGTCCTCTGCATGCATGAGAGCACATGAAAAAACAACAACACTATACAGACTAGGGGAAAAATATTCAATAATTTTTTTTTACTACACTCTATTTTCAGTGGTTTAATATGAATACATATTTTATTAAAATGCACAGTATAATGAGCATTTGCGGGGAAATATTACATACAAACACACAAAATTCATACTAATTTATTATATTTAGCGCAAAAAAAATATTTATATAATCATCAATGATAATCTCCGCACATCAGATGAAAAAAAAAATTGAAGTGGACAGAAGAAGCATAGAAAAACAGACATCATCCTTCTCTCTCACCCTCCCATTTTGCTATTTCCACATTAAATTTAATTATCTATGTTTTAATGCACATTTTTTTCTATTTTCCTCTCTTTCTATATTTGTGTATATCATGGGGAATTTGTGCATCATGCGAAAATCGGGTAAAAAAAAATGCATAAACCAACTTTATGCCGCAAATACACGCATAAATGCGCATACAATTTTTTTTTATTAGTGATGATGAGAATGAAAAAGTGTTAATTTATTTAGTTTGGATTGGTGTTTTAATTTGGCTTTCGAACATTCACTGTCAATAGAAATAACATGGAGAGAACGAGAATTTTCATTTCCAGGGAAATAAACACTTTTTGCCTCCGTGTCTAAATGTGCGTTGATGGGTGAGAGAGTTCACTGTTAATTGATGGATGAATTTGCTAAAAAAAAATGATGAGAGGAATAAAAAATACATTTCTCCAGGCAAGAGAGTCTTTTATGCGAAGGACAGAGAGAGAAAAAATTGAATTGCAATGAAGAGAGATACAAATGAGTTAATTTCTATTACTCGTGCTGTGTTGGAGAAAGAGATCATGTGAATTTTTCATGTTGGTTCTATTTGTTTGAATTTTTCTGACCCTGTTTGTTCCACTCTCCATGTGCGAGAGGGAGAATTAAGCAATAAAAGAGGATGAAGGTTTTTTCTAGTTTTATTCTTTGTTCCTATTTATTTTGTTTGTCGTTTTGTTTTTGAAAGGGAAATTTTTTTTTCATGTTGGTTTTGAAATGTTAATCAATTTGTTTAACTAATTTTTACCTAAATTTTACTTGATTTGATCATTAATTATTTATTTGTGGATTCATAAATCATTTGCCTAAGACATCCTTAATTATCTCTGGTGGTTAAAAGGATTGATGGCTGTCCCTTTTGGTCACAGAAGCACTTTGAGCTCTTAAAAAATTTCACATGAAAATTTTCCAGATTTATTTGTGTGCTAACAAGGCATAAAAGGATTGGCTAAAAGAGCTCCCATGTATGGACATGGGGATGTTCACATGGTGGGGACAAGAAAAAATAAAAAAAAACAACGAGAATTGGACAATAAAGTGGGAGAGAGGAAAACGCGAAAAAGTTGAAAAAAGCAAAATTCCATTTTTAGCTATTCTCTTTTCCGTAATCTGTCCATATTTAACCTTTTGTTGCGCGCGAACATCATCAAAACGCAAAATGCACCACTATAAAAATAACTTTTGAACTGTGTGGCTGGAGAGTGAAAAAATAAAAAAAATTATTTGGCTGACAAAAAAGGGGAACATGGATAAAAACACACAATTGCATTGCATTCTTTTCATTCAGTGAATTGTGGTGTGATGCTGGGGATATAAATCATTTTCGCTCTTCCTGTCTGCTATGCCATTGTACGTTGTTGTCTTTTCTATTTATCTGCAATTGTATTTTTTTCATATGAATTCGTACTTCTTAATAAGGCCTTATCACTAAAAAAAAAAATGTGAAAAAGCACAGAAAATAACATTTGCAACTCACTGCGAATCAGAGCCCTTAACAAAAGTTTGGTTATTAAGGTAAAGTCCCTAAGAGGAGAAGAGCATGTGGCAGTGATAAGTAGAAGAGAGTGATGATGGGTGGCAAAGGGAGTAAAGATGCTGTGCGAGACTAACAAACAACATGTACTAATTAATAATATTGATGGACTAACATTGGCTTGACTACCAGAGAAGATAGCGATGCGCTGCCGCCGCAATCGCCGCCCGTCTATCGACGCATGGGCTCACGCGAGGACGCCAGCAGTGATGTCTTTTCGCGCTTGGGAGCTGGAAATCAGGACCCACCGACCGGTGGCAGCATCCGTGAATTTAACGGGAAGGTAAATAAGTGCTGCCTTGTTGTCCATGGGAGGATGATTAATTAGCTCGTCTTCTCAATTTGCCAGCCAAGAGCCAATGTTCCATTGCATTGCACCCATGTGGTGGAGGGCCACTCCAATTCGGTGCTCTCTGTGAGGGTGTTCGACGCGACGCTGTTCACCGCGGCCGCTGATCGCACTGTGAAGGTGTGGGACATGACCACGGGGACGTCATCGCACTGCCTGTCGGCACATCCGGGGCCGGTAATTGCTGTGGAGTACGACAGCAAGAGGAATCTCCTCTTTTCGGCTTCGGGCGGCTTCATTCGTGCATGGGATTTGCGGATGAGCACAGCGCGACCGGTGAAGACGCTCTGCTCCTCTGGTTCTACACTCTCTGGCTTGGCAGCGCTGAATCCGCAGGGCGAGAGTCCCATCACCGCTCTGTGCATGGGGGCTTCGGGCTCTCTGTATACAGCGGCATCGGACAAGGTGCGAATCTGGGACGTGCGCCAGTTCGGGTGCACGGGCAAGTTGTCTGGGGGACATCAGGCAGCCGTGATGTGTGTCACTGCGTGGAGTGGGCCAAACAACACAGACTTCCTGGCCACGGGGTCAAAGGATCACTATGTGAAGGTGTTCGAGGTGTCATCATCCTCTGGCGTCGTTCTGCCGCTGCTCCACCTCGAGCCGCCGCACTACGACGGTGTGCAGGCGCTCACTGTGGCGAATGATGGGATTGGGGTGGATGCTGAGCTGTTTTCCGGAAGCCGAGACACGGGCATAAAGCGGTGGGACTTGAGGACTGGAGAGCTGAAGCAGGTGAGTTTAACACAATGATCAGATGGATTGTATCGAATTTCCGCTTCTTTTGTCTCTCTCTCTCTCTCATCTTTCCAGTCGCTGAATAATGCACACAAGGGCTGGGTCTCTGGCATGGCAATCTGCGGCGATGTCCTCTTGTCCAGCTGTCGCGGTGGCATCGTGCGCCTGTGGAGTGTCCGGACGTGTGATTCACTGGCGGAAATGAAGACAGATTCGCCCATTAATGATATCGTTGTGGCCGATCAGCGCATTTACACAGCATCCAAGTAAGTTCCAACCCCACGCGTTGAATGACCAAACACACAACATAGGAGATTTATTTAATACTTTAATGGGACGTGGCAAAGTAGAGGGTAGTTGGATGAGGGAGAAGGAGAGAGAGAGAGTGTGTGTTTAATTTATATTTATGGGATGCTACATTTTTTATTTAATCTCTCCCACGTTTTCAATTTATCCATTCTGATTTGTTTGTTTCACACTCTCTCCATACTCTCGCGTGAGTCGTTTCGCTGGGTGCATTATAAAGTGTGCACTTCTCTCACGTTTCTACTCGTGTTATCATTTCATATTAAGTCTGGCGAGTGAATAGAAAAATATGTATTTTGCAGAGATTTTCTTTATTTTCACATTTAATATTTGCATGTGGGAGAAATTAGCACTGCTGAGAGTTGCTTGGAAAATTTTATGATGGCCAAATGCAAAGCTTCATGATGAGGAGCTGCAGTAAGACGGAAAAGAAACAATAAAACTCAATTAGAAGTATAGAGTAGAATTAAATGGCTATCATCATAGATCTTCCAATCAAGTCTTCTTGGTTTGATATTACTTTTGCCTGAACAGATTTATATAATAATAAAGTTGACAGTTTTGCTCGTCCTTTGAGTTCATATGATATTAAAGAAAAAAATTGCACAGTTTGTTTTTTAGAGTGAGACAAAACAGACTTTGTAGATGGAATGTTTTCACATTGGGATGGAATTTTTATTGGTTTTCCCTTTCTTTTTTTCTATCTTCTCTAACGCAGTTCGGGTGAAGTGCGAATTTGGCGTTTTTCACCATCGGATTTCGTCAATTTAACCACATCTGCCAACTAATACAGTTTATCAATTAGCCATAATGACAATACAGAGATAATATGACACTGAAACAACAATACGCATATGAAGACACAGTTAATATTTTCCACTTTTGAATCCTCGCGCGACAGCACAACCAGAGCTTTCTGGTGCTTTCTTGCTTGTGGCTTCCTTTCTATTTTGTGTGGTTCACTTATTTGTTATTTTCAATGGAGTCGCTTTTGCGTGCTTTTTCCTCACTGACCAACATTATATTTTGACAAATTCATGTTCCTCATTGAGGTCACTTGAGTGTAATTGCAATTTACTGCCGCGCAATGGGGTGGCTTTGGGGTGGTTGAGGGAGCAAAAATACCCCTACAGAGAGAGAGGGAGAGAGAGAGAGAGCGCACTCACACACCATGAATGAATGATGAGAGCGAAGGCTTCATTTATTATTAAAGACTTATTTTATACTTATTCCCTTTCTCGTCTTGCCCTCACACTTTCTTTTGATTTTCGTTCTCCAAAGGTCATGGGCACGTTTTCTAATTTGGATCACATTCACAATTTGGCTTATGAAAGCAATTGGTCTCTTTGTGTGTCCACGATGTCAGTGCTGTAATACAAATTGTTCATAATAATGATCAAAGAGAGTAGAGTGGAGAAGAGATGACGATGATGAGTAAGGAATAAATTGCGTGCTGTGTCAACGGTGGGAGATAGAAAATTTTTTTTATACATACACTTGTAAGCTTTGCAATATTTTGCAAGCTCCCACTGAGCTTTTGCACGTGCATTGACGAGTGTAGAGACGAGAGAGCGAGCGATAATTGAAAAAGATGACACCAAATTCACAAAATTGTTTAGTACAGACGATACACACAGAATAAAAAGAGATCAACGAAGCAAGAGAGCGCCTTATGTAGAGTGGTGAGAGGAAAAGTGACTAAAAAAAAACGAGGTGTAAGTTTCTTTTTATATTTTCCCTCTACGATGTTGCTGATTCTTTGCTGGCTTTTCACATTCAGAGTCACTTCGCATCGCCTAATCTATTTGATTCAATCTTCCATTTGGGTGTTTTCTTTGTGCTAACAATATTCGCATTAATGACATATTAAGTGATAACCATCAGCCATATTCTCTTCATCCAAGCAAATTTACATTCTTGGACCATCGCTGCGATATTCTATATACATGTGCCAACAATATTGATGTTTTTGTGCGCTTCTCCACATTACCATTCAATTAGCAATTCCTCAAACACGAAAAACCTCTTTCTTGGCTTCTGCAATGAATTGTGATCCATTTCCAATTTCGCTTCTCATTTTTTTTTTGTTCACCCCATGTCGCCCACTATGTGGGTTATCTTGTGTTATTTATCGCACTTGGTGAGAGAGAGGAACACCTTTTTCACGACCACAAATTCACTTTGTGCAGACAGGGAGGTGATAACGGGGTTTGTTATGTGATAATTGAGAAGAGACAGTGGCCGAAGCTGGAGCAAAAACTGTCTCTCACTCAGTTTTAACGCAATTTGGGGTGCGAGTTTAGTGCTTCTGGGGACATTTCGTGCTGCATTTTCACAGAACTTTCATTTATGGGCCAATTTCACGTAATTGTTCTCATTGACTTTTTCTCCTAAACAAGATAGCGAATTATGCATAGAATGCGAATAGTTATGAAGAGTCAAGAGGGCGTGGCATTTATGTGGGCGGACTTTTCTTATGTCCAATAAGAAGAGACTTCTCATAATAATTCACTTAATATACAAGATTTTATGCATAATTTAGTAGAATTATAACAATTACACTTTGTACTAATTCATTTGTTATCCGTTTGCCGAAGTTCAATGATTTCTTTTCTGTTGTTGTTGTTATTGTTGCTGTGAAAACTTAATTGAAAATCTGAGAAGATGCACATAAATAGTGCTCATCGTGTCAAATGTAGCGTCTTAATTTGTTTCTGTTATTTTTTTTCGCTTCTATTATTTTATTTATTTTCCTTCATCTCCCACTTTTTTCACGCACAACCGCCTAAAGTGACGGAAAAGTCCGTCTGTGGCGCCTCACGTCCACGGCAAAGCGTTTTCGGTCGGAGAATGTCAGATGACAGCAAATGTCCAGGCAACCGCAGCCGCTCTTGCGTCAGAACAGCCTAAAATTGTCGGGAGGAACGCCACAGCAGGACTCCAGGAGGAAAATACCGGTGAGGCCTAAAATAATGTCAAGTCAAAATGCAGGAAATCACTACAAGATGAGCAATTACGCTAGTTTTAAAATATTGCCTTCATAGTCAGGAGAATGAGAGTTTCCGAGAAACGAGCTAATTTCGTAGAATACTTTAATTGAGTGTAGAAGTTAGTAATTTAGTGTAGTAATATATTTACCATGTCAAAATAATATATGTGAATCATTTTAACGAGTCGAGTGGTGGAGATGCAGTGGAAAAAAGGGTTGAGCTCAAAAAAAATGCAACAGAAAATGTGCAATTTCACTTTGGTGATGATAAAAGAGTTCTTTTTGTGGCAAAATGTAGAGTTTAAAATTAGCCAATTTTTTTGTAAAGTCAGTGGCAATTAATTAATAGAAAATAAAATATAATGAAAACTTTGAGCATTTCTCTTCATCTATGAAAGTGGGTGAATTTTAAATTAAAATTATATTTTTGATGGAAAAAAGCATTGAGCGGTTTTTGCCTGCAAAAAAAGGGGTGAAAAAGGAGCGAATGAGGAAGTTGTGTTAAATTTTCCATCGACATTTATGCAAAAAAAAAATCTCTAATTCACAGTGAAAGTTTGCAAGAACAATGCCAAAATACTCAAAATGTGCACATGTTTTGATTCATGTTTATACATTTTATTACCATACAATTTTAATAATATATAATGACCCTTTCGCCTGTGGTATTTGTGCGGTGGATTTATTTGTGAATGAGTCAAAGTTGAGAGAAGGTGAAATTAATGCCGGGGTGAAAAAGTGTTGCAGAAACTTTTCCACCTAATTGTTACTAATTATTTTCTCACGAATACCATTTTGAAGAATTATTCTATCCCGACGTGGGTAATAATTTTTTTTAAATTTCACTTTAATTGCCATGGAATTTCACTGCAGATAAATTGGCTCAGAGCAATAAATTCCCGTGACGAATTGTAAATTGGAATAATGAATTAGCCGCTATTGAGCTGGTTTGTGAGAAAACTTGAATTTGGTGGGCCCAAAAATGTGTCTGAGACAATATGAGAGTGTATATTAAAATGTTTTATCACTGATAAGAAGGAAGAAAAGACATGAGAAGAAGACATTGAGAGACGCGATATCAAGTGTGAAGGTCTAATTTAAACGATGTACTTAATTCAACGTATTTATCAATTCCTGTAATGATTAACGTATTTTTCTACATGCGTATTTCTTTTATAACATATATGCAAAGAGGCTGTTTAATTTTCCAATTGAACATTGAAGAAATGAATTGCAACAACTTTTAGTTCAAAACATTTGTAAGATAAATCTAATTTTTAGTTAAATTTTATTAATGTATTTAGATATTGCGACTAATAAAATTCTCTTCTGACATACACGAATAGAAGCTCAAGCTCAAGAGGTGCAGCTTTCTGCGGAGCTTTTCGGTCCTCTTAAGCGTCGTAGTTTTGTGTTTGTTGAAAGCGTTCACCGGTGATAGAGGAGAATTGCGAGTTATATTGTGTTTTCTGGCAATAAAGTTCTGTCTAACTTTAATGCATATACCATGGAATGTAATGAATTTAATATATTTATCAAATTTAATATGTAAAGGAGATTATGAGAATGAATTAAATAAATTCTATGCATTCTCTTCACTTGGCTTTTTGCATTGCGTTGGCTCTGTTTTGGGGTGGATTTTCCTTTGCAGGCGCGCTTTTCACATATTCAAAGTGGTTGCAAGATAAGAAGAGTGCGAGTAAATAATCCATTCCACTTCCACCTTGGCCACCTTTCTCTTGAGTTTGCTGGCTGTGCAGCAGAAGCAAGTCACCCCGCTGGGTGTATTTCAACGTAATTCCCACTCATGCAGACACGCCGTGGCGGTGCATATGAATACGATGGTCAGTCTAAATCGTGATTCTTATCTACACTTTACTCACAATTAACATGTCAGATTGTAAACACGATACAATTCTGACATACACAATCCGTTCGTTTGCCCTCCACCCACTCGAGCCGCTGCATTCCGCCGGGGCGTATGTTCAAGTCATGACGTCCGGCCTTTGATTGAGGAGAGCCTACTCGGTACGCACGGCAACCGATGGAGAGCAGAGGAGTCGTCAAAGGGAGTAAAGTGCTCTCTTCGAGCATAGTTATGTGTTACTTGAAATATATGGAGTGTTGGCTTAAAGATTCCAGTTTCGTTCTAAAAATACATATAAAACCCAGACGAAGATAAATCACGAATTAATATATATTTTTTTCTCCAGACACAGAGACAAAACTCAGCGTGGGGGTGGAAAAGTCACGAGGCAGAGTGGAAGAAATTGAAAGAAAAGGGATCGGGATTGCCAGTGTCTCACTTTATCTAAAAGTTAGCGATGAACTTTTGAAGTTTATATGATCCGCCCGGAAATATATGTATGCTACCAGCCAGAGCGACGAATGTGTATCACATAAAGCCAATTTTTCACGCTAGACGTGATACTGGAAGCAAGAAAGTGCTGTGAATTTAACCGAATGGCGAAAGGAGAATTGTGCAAAAATTGTTAGGTCATTTCACATTTAAATTTCGACATGGAAGCGCGCAATTCTGTCAAACGGGATTTTCTTGAGTTTCTTTCTTTCTCTCCCTTTTTTTTCAATATGAAAATTGAGTAACGGATTTGAATTGAATCCATTGGGTGTGTGTGAAGGCGATTAATTTCCATATGCCATAGATTTTCTTGCAACTCCGTGAGATAATCCCACCGCCAGGCGAACACCATCAGAGTCTCTTCCCAGAGGGAAAGCCGAAAATCTATCGAATCGTTTGGGAATTTCGGTGGGTGGATGGAAAATTCTAATCAGAGAGAAAAGTTTTCAAACGTGTGACGCTCCGGCGAATCCATCTGGCTCGCCTGGGTGGGTTGGGGTGGTTGTGGGCGATTATGAAAGGGGTTGAAATGTGAATAGAAAATTTCTCTCTATATGCTTAGTTCCTGCCGATAGCCGAACTCACAGCGGGAGGAGCGCGCACACATGGCGTCTGCCTCATAATCAGTGGCATCCACCTGAAATCGCATGGCCGGATGATGAGGGTCCGAGTCCAGATGGATGATGGCACCCATAATCCTCTTGTTTAATGAATGTGGCGCCGATCGAACGAGACTGATTCCCCGCTCGGCGCTCATTCAGCCGTTAATATTGATAAATGAGAATATTTCTTTTGTCAAAGTCCTCAGCCGCAATTGCCGGGGGTCTTCTGCTGCCACTGGCAGCCGCACGGAGAGATTGGGAGGCGGAGAAGCAAGTGATTGGAGCGAGTGTGGAATTTTCATTTGGATGCAAGCAGTTGATCCTCGCCTCATGTGTGCGGCTCAGAACGTTCCCACGGGAGGGGCGGGTGATGTCCTCTCCTCTCCCTCTGGACATTTGAATGTGGCTCAGCTTGAGTGTCAAAGGCGTGATGCGATGAATCGGATACAGGACAGGTGAAAGTTTCTCCCAGTCTTTTAAACTTTGATCACACATGCCAATTGTTCCAATGATTTCTGTACACTGAGACGAATTTTCATCATCGCATGGTCTCAAACAGTTAAACAGGTATTTTGCTGGAACGGATTACCAATTTGAGAGTTGTGAGACATAAACCAACATAAAAAGACTCCAAGTAGTGCAGATTAAAGTGTTGAATATGAGCTATAATTTGCTATGGCAATTCTTAACTGACCTGCACAAGTTTATCCAAATTGTTGTGCCGGAAAAATGCTATGTCCTGAGGTATCAGGCCTCAGAGAGTGTGATCAGGGCGTTCCGTACAAGTGAAGAAGCTGCTATTGCATCCCCCTCAGGCCCGGCCTTCTGGTCACCTTTGAAGGTGGAAAATTCTTCACAACAATAATAATATAAATTTCGTTAGTCACCTGAAGCTAATTATCATTATTAATAGACAAACATTGAAATTAAGTGCTCCTTAGTTTCTTTATTTCAGTTCAAGGGAAAAAGTTAATAAGGTCAAGTTATACATATTTCTCATTAAATCCGGATCTATTTGCCATTTTATCTAAATGGTAATTACGCTATTTGCCAATATTTGCCAAATTTGTCTTACGAAAAGTAGGTCAGAAAAATATCACAGACCATAACCATAATCTTACAGTCGTTTCACAATTATTTTCCTCATTTTGGAGGAAAATTGCCTAATTTGGCCAAGTAATAACCATTTATCCGTCGACGTGAAAATCTCGGTGTTGGATTTTTTTTCCCACCTACATATAGTTAAAAGAAGAAAAAAAATGTAGATTTTTTTGTTCCTATACCAAATTCCCTGGTTAAACATTTCAATCAAGTCTGAAAAGTCGATTACCAACACGGAACAATACATTGCAATAACTTTTCCCGGGTAAATGCAATAAATCGACAGGCAACATCCCACTTCTCGGGGGGCCTTTGGGCGGGTGTTGTGGCAAGTGGAACAATTCCGGTAACGAAATTGTGAGTCGCACAAGTTCAGCAAAGCATAGGCCATGAGCACGTTTGTTGATCGATGCGAGTGAAGAGCGGGTGAAGATACAGGACAAGAGCGTTAATCAATTTTCCATTAACAAATTTGATTAGGGGAAGAAAAACCCTGAATGTCGTCGTCTTTCGCAAATTAAATTGTAATTGATTTCGTGACTGAAACAATCACGATAAAGTTTAATCTCGATATTGAATTGCCATGGCAGAGGAATCTCGTGTGTGCTGCACAGGCGATACATTGTTGCCTGATGTTGGTGAAAGGGTTGGGGGCTGCATTGGGAGCCACACACACATACCTTCGGCTGCACTGAGGAGAATTCACACTCGCACATGGGCAAGAGTGTGGGCGGGGGGTGGGAAAATGTCTCAATGCTGTCAATTGTGAGAGCGCTTCTTGACATCACAGAAAAGAACTCAAACCCCGCAGGACAATAAAAACTTCCCTGGGCTCGCCTGTGAGTTTTCAGGGGACGACAGATTTGTGTGATTGAATTTCCTGGCGTGTGGTTTTGTATCGTTTCCCTTTCGCGCCAAGAAAGCCACCCCCCACCCACCCCCACTGCCACCGTCAGAGCTCTTCGTGCAATTTACCACCGATCGATGGCATGTATTTCATTTCGGGGTTGACCTTGCAACTTTGACCCTCTGCCAGCGTCTTACCGGCGAAAGGGTGAATTGAGTGAGGAAGCTTCTCAGACAATTTTCACTCCGCCCCACCCCTCACGATAAGCCATCCCTGAGCTATTTTAAAGAGAAGCGCTTCGTGAGGTGGAATTTATCGCCGGGGAAGCTCTATGCAAAATACCAACTATTTGTCTTGTAACTTTGAACGTTCTGTCTGCAATTACGACACGTTGTAGGGCCAGAACGATGTATTGAGTCTCTGCAACTAACATATTCCACAGGAGCTTGATGATTTAACTTGAATACTTCACCGGGAAAGTTTGTTGTGCGGGAGAATGAGTTCAAAAATTGATTTTCCTCAAGTTGCAGGGAAATGCGTAAGATTGTTTATGAATATGACAAAGTTATTCGGAATATTTCTTTATTTCCAAGAGACTCCCTTGCCATGCACGCGCTTCGTTGGCCTTTGTGATGGCTATTTCCACTTCCCAGGGTGAATATTGAGATATTAAGTTGAAGGTGATTTCTCTATATTATCGCCCCTTAATGAGTATCCTCATTGTGCGTGTGCGGCGTTGGCCAAATTGGCATTTATGAGAAAATTGTCTCGGGGGTCGTGCGAAGGAGTCAATGAATTGGCGCGAATCAATCTCATGGAAATCTTTGTCAGCCCGAAGAACATCCCAAAGAGTCTCATCGCCTTTTTGCACCCCTACAAGCTAGAGAGTGTGTGTGTGTGTGCAGGGAGTGCGATAAAGAAGTTTTATTCCCAAAGGCTCGACACCCCCAGAAAAAAGGGGGAGGCAAATGCCTTATAAATACACTTGGGTCTCCACCCCGTAATCGGGGCGCTGCGTATCAGCTGGATGGGCAAAAATTGGCCCAATTGGGGCTGTGCGTGCAAATATTGTGTTATTTGAAATAAAGCACAAGCGATTTGGTCCAATATTGAAAATT